TCCGGTACTCTGAATGAACAAATCACGACCATTTTATTGTGACAAGGAGATACCGTTTCTCAAATGACTAATTTCTCTGTATAGGGTGCATTCCATGCCGTTTGATTACTGAATGCTTCGGGAACACATTATTCTTTGAACACATCATCGACTGAGCAACTGTATCTCCAATGTTATCGCCTTGCGAATCACGAATCACGAATCAACTCACGATCACGAGTGCTCTTTATGCCATCGAGACAGTTCCGTAGAGCCTACCCTTCACATTCAAACGCAGATAGCTCTGTTTTATGCAGGCATGCAGAGGCACCTTGCCGATTAGCATGCAGAAGCAGACCTGGTTGGCGGAGAGGGGCCACTAGCCGCGGTGCACCGAATGGGAAGCCCCAGCCGCGGCCCGTAACCACCTAAGGTCCCGTGAAGGTTGTCAACATGTTGCACCACCATTGGCCCCTCCGCTCGGGCGATGATATGCTGAAGTTCAATGCATCGCCAACGAGAAGTCGTTCAGGGACTCCTGTATATGTGCATGTTTAGGGGCTCGTAGAGCGATGTACCGGTCCAATGGATGCGAAAGGCACTCGTATTGGCATGCGAATCAAAAATGGGTTGGAAGTCGGCGGGTTTTTGCCACCCTACTGACCGGTCTAAGGCGCGGGTCTAAGCAAAGGACGCCTAGCTCCTCTCTCCTCTCTCCTCCCTCCTCCCTCCTCCCTCCCTCTCTCCCTCCCTCCCTCTCTCTTTCTCTATCACTCTCTCTCCGGTCTCCTCTTCTCTCTATACCTCCCTCTCAATCTTTCTCTCTCTCTCTCTCTCTCTCTCTCTCTCTCTCTCTCTCTCTCTCTCTCTCTCTCTCTCTCTCTCTCTCTCTCTCTCTCTCTCTCTCTCTCTCTCTCTCTCTCTCTCTCTCTCTCTCTCTCTCTCTCTCTCTCTCTCGCTGTTGCCAGTCCATTCTGGCGCCGGTCAACTGGATCGCTCTCCGGGGCACTATCCTCTGACCTATGCAGGTTCTCATTGTGAACCTTCCGCCTCTGCTCCATCCAATGAGGGCGAGTTTCAGGCGTCGGCTCTGCCGGATCCAGCGGACCTGGAAGGGCAACCAGCCGTGAGATTGGCCCAATCAACCGTCTCTAACAAGATCGCCCGTCCCGCTTGAAAGAGTCTGTATCTGCCGGCCTCAAATCGACACGCCCTCATGCTAATATCTTTACCTACTGTCTGAACGAGCATCGATGATCGAACTGACCTGTTATGCCGTGTGCGAGGCTTTCACCGATTGTAGCACAGCTGCAGGGTTTGCAGAGATCTCATCTCGTTCAGTATTTCATTAGGCCACTGCGGCAGACGCTGGTCTCTGCGGCGACAAAAGTGAGGCGCCTGGCCGCGCCCGTTGTCCGATGGTGGCAGAGTCGAGTGGCCGTCCCCGTTCCGGCCAGCTCCGCGTTCCCAGATCAGTGAAAGGCTCTCCGCGAAGTTTGCTAGGGAGGTATCCGTCATCCAGAGTCGGCAGGTGTGTAAACTCACGCGCCGCTCCTGGAAGGTTGTGTCGGAAGATGGCTCCGAGCCGCACGTTTGGGTGACGGATTGGGCCGTGCTGAGAAGGATGGCCATTGTGTTCCCGTTCTCACGACTGTGTTTGTCACGGGGAGCGACGGCGTCCATATATTGAACATAATGTGGCTGAGAGCGAAAATCGCGGTGAATGACCACTAACTCATCTTCGCATCAGCATGGTATCACAGCGACATTTAATCACGGCGATTTTGTGTTAGTCTTTGCGTGGATCTCTGAGTATCCTTTAGTCGTTGGGAGTCACTGAATTCGTTACGATCGCTTATCATTGAGGTCGCCAGTCTGCTGACAGGACAGGACGGGACTATAGGAGCCCCTTGACCAAAGAGACCTCATTTTCTATCCAACCAGCTATTATGCAATTCTTTCAGAATACAATGCCGGCTCGAGTTTAGACCCGGAATGTGGCGGGCAGCGAATACAATTCTTCACGTGAGTCCGTGCAAAAACGTTTACCTATTCCCTTGCCTATTCCCACCCGATCAGTCGATTTTTGTGGGCTTATCCAAGGGCTTATCTTTTGTCGAAAGTGAGAGAGTTGATGATGTTTTATAACAAACACAACCGTTATCACTGCTCATGTAGGCATCATAACATACGACATCAACCATAATGGAGATTATCCTTGCATTCGGCATCCGCAAAATGAGGGATGATTATCAGGGATCACGGGTAATAATTTGGCATTGCAGGGATCATCGATGCAATAAGTCACATTTTTAGATTGCTTTTGCTTCCCGAATGGCTCTTTTGCTCGTTGTCATGTCCGTTGTACACGGTGTCAGCTTAAAACACCGAATGAGCCCGGCGATCCTGGAACATTATCCCTGATTATCCGGATGCCGAATGCACGCTATGACGGTACAGTATACCCCAAAAAATAAGACAATTGAATTCAGTCTGCTTGACAGCAAGTAACTACGTGACCAGACCAATCCCACCTCTGTCTGCCTTGAATCCTGATGCTGAGTTTATGTTCAGTGTCAGTGTCACCGCCCCTGTCACGCCGCGGGACGTGACGTGACGCTCTGCGTGACGCTAACAGGCGTCACACAGCGTCAACAGCACACCGTCACGCTCTGCCACCCCCCAACCCCGTCACCCGTGGTGTGCAGGCGCAGGCCGGGCGGAAAGGGTGAATAAAGCGCTTAGATCGATGTGGAGCTGACAAATCAGTGTCAGTGAACACAACGCAATGAAAGATGAAATATTGGAAAAAGCTATCTTTATTCACTACGATAAGTTATCTAAAGAAACATGAAACACTTACAGCTTTTAGTTGCTTTGCCAACACGCGAAATTGAGTCATGGTTGTTTAGATTCACATCACGCTGACACTGTTCAATCATCTTCCTTTTTCACGTAACCACAAATGGATTGTCACTCTGTACCCGGTTTGACCCATTGCTTGTTCCGCAGCTCAGGGTCGCTCCTGTCGAAAAGTTGAGAGTTGTCGATCAGACACCGTCACATGACTGACCGTGACCGTCCGTCCACCGTCCATCCACCTGCCGTCCACTTTCCGTCCACTGACCGTGACCGTCCGTGGACCGTCCGTCCACTGTCCGTCCACCGCCCATATAAAGCCTGCCTGCCAGACAGTGGTGAAATCCGAGCTGTGACTACTAGCACCAGCTGGCCATCAGTGGGCTGTCAATGGCACCCACCGCAGCCGTCACTACACCATTTCAAACGTGTTCCTGCTGTACTGCAAGTGGTGGTTACTGGTTGGCTCGCTGTGATTTGGTAGAACGGGGGGTGATTGGTGAAGCAATGAGTGGATAAGGGTATGTTTTAGGGCCTTGGATAAGGGAGGAGGGACGATGGGTGGACGGATGAACGGACGATGGACAGTTTGACATGATAGTGAAGTCGAAGGCGGACCGATGTGACGGAGCCGACGCGGCTGCCGCTAGGTCTCACGGCCTGACGTCCAGCAGACGACAGGTGGTCGCTCATCGGACGGTGAAACCGGCGACGGAGACACCCACTGCCGACAGGTGTGTGCAGGTAGCTCAGGAGGGAAGCTCGGCCATGGCCAGGCTTAGACCGGCACGTCTGTAGTTTACAGATGGGACATGGGTGCAGTTAAACACACCTGTACCTTCAATTGGATACATCTGCACATTCGGCCTACATCAGTAGGTACAACCCGGTTCAATGGCGGTCATCGGTAGGTATAGCTCAGTAAATCAGTGCAGATTAGTACATATATCAGTACAAGGACGCCTCGGTACAAAGCGTGCACCAGCGTGCAGCGCAGCTCGGTACATTAGCGCACATTTGCACAGCTCCGCTCTGTCGACGGCAGTGGCGGATCCAGGGGGGGGGGGGGCAAAATGGGCATTTGCCCCCCCCCAAACGGCATAATTTTAACATTACGCCTATGGACGACGCATGGAAAGAATCGATAAATTTTATGGTTTGCCCCCCCAAAAAAAAACTCTGAGCTGGATCCGCCTCTGGTCGACGGTACGAAGCGCGCAGCAGCGTGCAGCACAGCTCGGTACATTAGCGCACATTTGCACAGCCCGGCGCTGTCGATCAGCTTAGTGCGCTCAGCTCAGTCGGCGCAATCCTGCCAGCACAGCAAAGCTCAGCTAGTCACCCCTCCCCCCGAATCTGCTGCTGCGTAAGTCGTTCATCACCGCCCCCACCACCATGGAACAAACGCTGTACAAATGACCCCGTCCGGGGCCCGTCGGCCTCTGATGACCGTCCGACACAGTCGACTCATGCCTTGTCGGTGCTGCGCTCGTCCGGCGGTAGATCCGGCCCGCGGCCGTGCGTGTAATCCCACACAGCGACGAGCGTGTCCGGGTCGGGGCTGATTTGTGAATCTCTCCGGGCTCGTTTCCACGATCCCGATTCATTCAGAGTTACTGGTAATCGAGGCTGATTGGGAATAGTTTGCAGGAACGCGGTGCTACTCGCCAGATTATAAATGGTGTGAGTTCGTGGGACGTGTTCGCTGAGCTGAAAGGACCGCTCGTCTGTGATCGGTCTGCGATTGCGATGGTGTGGATTTGCACGGCTAAACTTAGTTTTGCCTATGCTCGTTTCTTCGACCTTCCTGTCGACAGGATTCTGCTGAGTGATCGATTATCTGATCTGCGTATGACACAGCTGTCCTTTGCTCTGGGAACACGTTTGGCCGGAAGTTTAGCTAGCTTTATCAGCAGTGTCAGAGCTGCTGTATTTTCTCCGATGAACACCCACTGGTAGTTTATTTATTGCAACCATCATGCCAGCCTTACACTCCTTAAAATTCCCGCGACGTTCCAAAGTGAAGATGAGACTCGCAAATCTTTAATACGTGTTGAATTAACCCGTTTATCGAGTGACAATAGCATCTTGTTGCAAAAGATCCAGGTATTAGCGCAAATCAACAACCCCAAAGTATAACACACATCCCTCTGATCTTTCAGGACCTGGTGGACGAGGGTCCGTCGCGGCCACACCGACGGCTCTTCATCGGTATCGGCGCGGTACTGGTCGTCTCTGCCATCGTCATTGCCTGCGTGATCCTGCTGACCCGCGAGGGCCCGGTGGTGGAGGCGCGCGCAGGCCCCTCGGTCACACGGCCGCTGCCCCTCACCAACGGCTCTGTGATCACGCTGAATGAGGTGCTGACCATGCGCTACACGGCCGACTCCTTCGCCGGGGAGTGGATCAGCGGTAAGTGTGCTCTTTGGAGGGGAAATGTTGGGGTTTTGTGCTTGGAGTGGAGTGGGAAGTGGATGTAGGTGCTGCTCTGGGACCTAAGAGATAGGATCAATGGTTCGGCCATTCGGTTCTTCGGCCACACTCGAGTGCATTCGAGTGTGCATGCGCACTCGAATGCACTCGAGTGCACTCTAAGTGGGAAGTGGGAGCTGTTGTACTCCGAGGTGGGAAGTAGTGGATGTTGTGCTCGGAGGAGAAGGGGAAGTGCAGGGGCTGCTGTACTGAAAGGTAAGATAAGCGGCAACGCTGCACTTATGGGAGAAGAAAATGGTGATTTCTGCACTTGAAGGACGGTTCGTCGGCGAGTGCTGCTCTCCGAGTAGAGGATTAAAAGCGAATATCGCACTCAGAACATATACCCTGCTCAGAACGCATGCTTCCTCTAACGGCTTTATCTCAACGAGCTAGGAGAACGGGACAGTCTTTAAGGCGGCAAGTGGCTCCTTGTTTGTTTTTTATATGTATGTGATTATATGTTCGTGCTTGGCCGAATCGCTCTCGAGCGGGACAAAGTCAGCTTCTTGGATAAGATGATCCTACCTCATAAAATTTCGAATGTGATTAAAGGGAGGAGAGTTCTTTCTAGTTACTGTGCATGCTGGTGACAAGTGTAGCCTGAAGGTATCAACGGTCAAGTGTGGTTTGGGGAAATATTGAATGTAATTTGAGTGTGCATTTGATGGAGACGTATTAGCTGCTTGCATTAGCGCAGGTATGAGATGTCAGTTTTTTATGTGTGCAGTGAGATACTGATTGGTTCTGCACTTACCCATCGGGAAGACATGTCTCGAACAAGCTCGGTTGATAAAGTGCAAATGAGCAGTTGAAGTTGGCAGATAACTTTCTCAGAGTCATTAAGCCTGACCGAGGTTTGGTGACCTTCCGCATTCGAAGTTTCAACAGCGTTCATCGTCTTTCTCGATCAGTTTGTTGGTTACTATCCGACCAGGTCGCTTCAGTGACCTTAAACCTCAATTTAGCTGTTACCGCTGCCCGTCACCGATGCCAGTGCGACACCGCCAACTGCCATTCGCCACTGTCACCCGTCCAGTCACCACTGTCACCCTGCTAGTCACCACTGTCACCCTGCCACTCACCACTGTCACCCTGCCTGATGCCAGTCGCCAGTGTCACATTGCCAGTCAGTTCTGTCACGCTGCCAGTCACCATTGTCGTTCATCTCTACACCGCCAGTCATTTCCTGCGGCAACGCGCCACTCATAAGCGCCATAGGGTCACCTTAGTTATTTAGTACTCGATGCGGAGTAAGCCAAGTTGCTGGGAAGACAAAGTGTGGGTGCCTACAATGGATAGATCGGACTTCACGCCACCCACAGAGTGAGGATTTGACAGGAAATTGAACAGGCGCTAGCGAGCGCCAGACACATCTCGCCTACTTTTTGTGTCCAGTTATATTCCAGTTGTTCTACCATTCTATGTAGTCCGCCATCACTGATTACGTTGGCGTTGTCAATTTCACCCGTTTCATTCCATATTTTTGACCTGTCACTCTCGCTCGACCACGCCCTTGTTTAGTCTCTCGACGCCTATTAACGCTTCACTAATGAACAGTGTTTTACACATTGTGACGTCTTGAGACTGGCTCAAAAGGCGGGACGATCACGATTCATGAGCGGAACCATAGATATACAGGCAACGAAACGGACTAACATTGCCACGTCCACGGTCCAATTTGTTTGATATCGTCTAATTTGTTGGTTAACATTGAACAAATCACGCCCATATCAATTATGGTGGTCGTATTGCAGTAAGCCAGTCTGACTAACACAAATAGGGGTTTTCGCGTTGAAAAGCCGAGAGAAGTTTTCCGTCGCTGTATTTTGTCATGTCCCAGCTGAAGTTGATTTTCCTCTAGATAACTAAGTCTTTGGTGTCACAACTTATGGTACGCGTCACAATGCACAATGAAATGCAATATATCCTCTCTGCACTATCCGTTACATCCTTGCCCTTAATTATGGAGTTTGCAGCTTGCGTTTAAGGGATTTGCTTAAAGGGATTATCAGGGTTTAAAAATTGAAAGGAATCGGAATGTATTGCCTATCAGTTAAGTCTCCAGACTCTGCCGATTTCAACGATATACATAAAATGCCTATTGATGCTATACTTTGCAAGTTATAGTCGTTTGAAAAACGACAAAAATGTACTTACTCCCGCAAAACAAGTACTTGAGCGGTCAGATTGGCCCATTACTATAATGTAAACAAAGAGCGGCCTTGCGAAATTTTGCGGGATTGAGGATTTCTACAAGATTTCGGTGATAGGCATTGGTTGTCGATATACGATGGATTTTTGGTGAAGAACTCGACTGAAATTGAAACAAATTGAATATTTGCTTGTCTAAGGCAGCAAGATTTATAAACATCGCCAAATTTATCATATGCAATTGGAGCTTGTTTCAGTTTTTATAGCAGGGTCATGATACAATTTTCTTTCAATGGTAGATTCGTCATGGTACAGTACAATTTAAATGGTAATTTCGAGTAATTTATGTCATTGAATTGAAACTGCAAGTACATCCCACAAAAGAGCTTATCCTCTTCAATTTTCAGTCTTGATCTGACTGATAAGTGATTTGTCAAGAGTGCGAAAAGTGAGGTGACAAGAGAGCTACAGGTTTTTCAAGATTTAAGTGTTCTTGAATAGCAGGTTGTACAACATTGTGCTGTGACATAACCATTGGGCCTTGTGCCCCCTGTGACAGAGCCCCTGCATCAGCTGGTCTGACACGGCTGGGCTCGCAAGTCGCAAAGAACGTCTTGGTGCTCTTAATTATGATTGATGATTGTGATGTGAAAGGAGGGTACCTACATGGCAAAATACATTTGTATGTAATTTCTTGCCACAGTACCCACCTGCATGTACATTTTTGTTGTCTCCGTGTGAAAAATGAATATATTTTAAGGAAAATTAAGGCATTTCTGTTTGAAGCATGCAGAAATTCATGTGTGATGCTGTCCCGGCAACTCATGTGGAACAGAACAGGCTGCAGAGTGCCAGATCGTGCTTGAACAGAGAGAATCATCAGCTATCTACATATGCGCATGCTTTGAAGTTCCCTGCCTTTTCCCACATTCTACTTGCTAGTTGTGAAAAGGATCGGACAAGGCGAGGTACTCATGCTCATGGTGCCACCATGTGCAATTACTGACTGGTGAATTCGGTGGCTAAAATCCTTAACGCTCTATGGATAATTATTCTGCTCTTATGTTCAGTATGTTGATATCAGAAACTCACCAAGGTAACCTGCCCTGTGGCATTTCTTAGTTCAAAATTGTAAGCATTACACTCATCAGTCATGTAACTTGTATTTACATCCATGAACAAACAATGTGCAAAGGGGCTACCCAACAAGCATTACTGTCTACAGCGTAGCGCGTACCGCCTCCGCAAGGGGCGCGCCCCTCTACAATGGGCATGCGCGAACCCCTTCTCTGCAATGGGCGCGCCGGCGAACGTACGCGAGCGATCACGGGTCGCCACCACCAGCTGGCGACTGACGGCGCAAGGCCATAAAACTACGACGGCGGGCCCGGCAGCAGCGCGCGGTGTGGGGGGGGGGGGGGGCGTTGGACACGGGATGGACGCACAGTCGCGCACCACGACCGACGGCGACATCACCTGCTGCGTCTGGCTCGGCGAGCGCAGCTGGGAGCCGGCTGGAACAGACAGAGCGGAGTCAGCCGGCGGAGAGACCCGGGGGACGGGAGAGAGACACGGGCCAACAAACTGGGAGAGATTCGAATGCCCGCACGACAGCAAGGAGCAAACATGCCCGTTATATTCACGTGTCGATTGTCATGACGTCAGTCTTGAGCACAAGCTGACTTCATCCCTACATCCCGTTTTACTTATAATCATAATTGAGGTCCTGGATCGGTACACCGGCTCAGTCGCCTGTTGACGGCGGCGCACAGCGTGACCTACCCGCCCTACAGCCGGCCCCAGCAGGGTGAGTAGTGAGTACCAATACCCGCCCCCATGCCAATGCCAAAATCACTAGCACTGAGAGTTTTATGGAAAAGCCCTCCTCAGTGGCCGGTATGAGCTGGCCGTGCGGCGGCCGCGACTTACCTGCGGCCGCTGAAGGTCTGGTGAGTCGGACGGGCACCTCCGGCACTGTCGGCAGGGCGGCCGATTTGAGCGCAGCGCTGTCCAGTCGGACTGACGGCAGCACAGAGACCAGCTGTCCGTGCAGGCAGCACCGGTGGCCCGAGTCGCTGCTGCTGCGGACCCGGCCCGGTACCGGCGCCGGGTGGTGGCCGGCCGCGGCCGGGAGCGGGTCCGCCGTCCGCTCCGCGTCCCCGGCCGCCCCGCCGCCGCTCTCTGGACCGGCCGGAACGGTGACGGTGACCGCGCTGATCTGAAGGCGCACCTCCAGACGCTCCAGGGCCGGCAGCCAGGCCAAAGTCGGAGCGGCGGGCGGCGCCGGCGGAGTGGGGGAGACGGCCGCCGCAGCGGAGGTGTTGGGTGACACTGCGGGTAGGTTCCTCTCCGTGGTCTGGCTCCGTGCCGATCGCGAGGTACCCGAGTGTCCTTGCGGCCGGGGCACATCCATGGCGGCGGCGGCGGCGGCTCGGGCGGCTGGGGTAGTGGCGGCGGCGCCGGGCCACTCAGCTGCTGGCCAGCTGAGTGGCCAGGGACAGCCAGAGCAGCAGTGCCGGCTGCCAGCAGAGCAGGGCCGGCTCGGAGACGACCACCAGCAGCGGGCAGCTGTCCGCGGCGGCGGCAGCTGTCGGCAGCTGCAGCAGCGCCCGTACCGCCCGCTCGCCGCCGCCGCCGGGAGCCGGCGCGTCGGCCGCCTGGGGCGCGGCCAGCACGGGCCGGCCGTCCAGCTGACAGGTCGAGACCAGCACCGCCTGGTCAGCCGTCACCTGCGATAGGGCGCACGGGGAAAAGGGATACAGTCAGGAGCCGCGGCTGTAGTTATTCATTTCCAATCGACAATAGGGCATTGGGGCAGTGTTCCCGCCACTTCTAATGAGAAGTAATGTCGAGCCTACCACAGTGTACTTCACAACTAGAAAACGCACTCAACAATAATCACACAACAAAGGCACACTCTCAGGGCCATTCTAACAAAACACCCGCGGTTATAATTAGCATTACTCGGTATAATGACTGACCGTGCATCGTGTGTGGACGTGGCAGTTGTAGAGCAGCGCAGCGGTCGGCCGGCGCCGCTCAAGCTGGGAGACACACCGGCACAGCCGGGACGGGTACATGGGCTGCTGCTCGTTCCACTGGATCGTCTGACAGCGCAGCTGGAGACGCACCTCACCGGCCTGAGGACGGGGGAAGACTGGGTGATACAACCGGGACAGACAAATAACACAGCTGCTGTAGACGTATATACCTCCCCGGCCTGGTGACCGCGGGCGGGTAATACGACCTCATAGAACAGCGATCAGCCGGATCATCGGAGCAAAAAAAAAGCACGCATCTCAGGAGCCCATCTCCTTGCAAGTCTGCGATCATATCTCAACGCCCAACTGCAGCAGCTCTTCAAACAATGCAGCTGATGCTGTCCTTTCGAACATCCCCGCTATGCATGGACCCACGCCGCCCAGCTCCCCGTTGGCGGCCACCACTGTCAGCCGCCGCCCCTTCCTCCGCTGCGCGGAGACCCACCTTTTCCAAGTCTCCATGGCCAGCCAACACGGTGACTCGCGGCTCCAGCACCGTCAGCTACAGGTCGCGAGCCGGGGTGTTGGCCTCCAGCGCCACCGCCTCTCCGTGCGGCACTGGGCCCGGGCGGGCCTCTCCGTCCGCTGCGGGAGAGGGCAGAGGGTAGAGGAGAAGGTCAGGGCGGGCCTCCCCGCCTGCAGCAGAACAGGGGGAAGGAGCGGTCAGGTGGGTCTCCCCGTCCGCTGCAGGAGAGGGCAGAGGGGCGTTAGTGGTAGTGGGCAGATGAAACGGAATGTTTATTTCAAAGATATACACTTTTTCACTAGTACGGCAACTATACTTCTCAGAGGTGAAAATCGCTGCTGGGACGCACTGCCGAAAAAGAAGGAACTTGCAAGTCACAAGCAGCGATGGGGACGACTCATGAAGAACAGTGCATCATGTTAAACAACTTCAAGCTAACTCTGAGCGCTACTCAGTACTCAGTTCACTACTCACCCTGCTGGGCCGGCTGTAGGGCGGGTAGGTCACGCTTTGCGCCGCCGTCATCAGGTGACTGAGCCGGCGTACCGATCCAGGACCAGGAGCCCAAGCAGGCCCTTGTCCAGTTTCTGCAGCAGCAGCGTGTGCCGTCACCGGCAGAGCTGTCGCTGCCAGACGACTGCCGTCAGCGCCCGGCGCACGCGCTATAAACACTGCGCCGCGGCGAGCGAGCACGGCGCGCTGCATCAGCTGGTAGCTGCTGAGCGCCGCCAACCCCAGCATAGCAGCTGGCGGAGCGCCGCGCTACACGACGACCTGTCGGGGCGCGCGGGCGGGTCAGAGGGTGGGGGAGGGGGGGCCAACAGGGTCAATCACATCACCTCTCTCTGCAATGGGCGCGCGCGTGCGCACCGGCGATGGGCGCGCGCCGGCCGCCGCTGCCGATGGACGCGCGCCCGCCGCCGGTGCCCGATGGGCACGCGCTGGCCGCCGGTGCCGATGGGCGCGCGCCGGCGCCGGTGCCGATGGGATGGGCGCGCACCGGCCGCCGGTGCCGATGGGCGCGCGCCCGCCGACGGTGCCCGATGTGCGCGCGCCCGCCGCCGGTGCCGATGGGATGGGCGCGCGCTCGCCGCCGGTGCCGATGGGATGGTCGCGCGCCGGCCGCCGGTGCCGATGGGCGCGCGCCCGCCGCCGGTGCTGATGGGATGGGCGCGCTGGCCGCCGGTGCCGATGGACGCGCGCCCGCCGACGGTGCCCGATGGGCGCGCGCTGGCCGCCGGTGCCGATGGGATGGGCGCGCGCTCGCCGCCGGTGCCGATGGGATGGTCGCGCGCCCGCCGCCGGTGCTGATGGGATGGGCGCGCTGGCCGCCGGTGCCGATGGACGCGCGCCCGCCGACGGTGCCTGATGTGCGCGCGCCCGCCGCCGGTGCCGATGGGATGGGCGCGCGCTCGCCGCCGGTGCCGATGGGATGGTCGCGCGCCGGCCGCCGGTGCCGATGGGCGCGCGCCCGCCGCCGGTGCTGATGGGATGGGCGCGCTGGCCGCCGGTGCCGATGGACGCGCGCCCGCCGACGGTGCCCGATGGGCGCGCGCTGGCCGCCGGTGCCGATGGGATGGGCGCGCGCTCGCCGCCGGTGCCGATGGGATGGTCGCGCGCCGGCCGCCGGTGCCGATGGGATGGGCGCGCACCGGCCGCCGGTGCCGATGGGCGCGCGCCCGCCGCCGGTGCCGATGGGATGGTCGCGCGCCGGCCGCCGGTGCCGATGGGCGCGCGCCGGCCGCCTATCAAGTTTACCTGTCCAGATGTACAGAAAGAATGTTTAGTCTGTCAAATACATGTACAGCTGGTATACCTACCCTGTAGCTGCAACTGTTTTGACCATGTGGCCCAGCAAAGTTATCTGGCCTAGGTAATGATTGTGATTCAGGGATGAATCCCTGGGAAGAAAATATAGATGATGGTGCTTCAGGAGACTGGAGATTGTCGTGAAGAAGCATTCCTTAATTAGTGTTAGTCACCATCCAAGCCATATGACCAAAACACACCACATCAATATTATCCCAAAATTATATTTAAAAACTTTATGGTTGGTTACACACAAGTTTTTTAGGTGACCACACTCAAACACGAGACTACTAGGGTGCCAACGTCACTTGTCAGGCTCAATGCACCAGCTGCTGTTCATACAATTTGGAAGACTCAACATCAGCTATCAGGTTCTACATCACATCAAGTGTTCAATGTAACAATGTTCGTGCCACTTTTACAAGTTTTGCTAAAAACCAGTTCAATTACAAAGGAAATGCCAAACCCACCTTCCACGACTGCTATTGACGGTACGGCATGTGGTGACGTTCTAGCCCTTTCTCCAAGCAAAAGATCTTGAGGGTTGAAGTGGCAGCTACACACAAGTGCTTCGTCAACCTGCTTGTCCGCCAAGCCATCTTCTAGGACAGCCACCCAACCAAGTCTCCTAAAAACAGCATGACTTTGTGATCAAAGGTCTGGGAAAATTGCAAGGCTTGCCATTCCAGTACAAGTAACAGATAACAAGTAACCACAGATAGTACATTGAGTACTTTAGTTATATGTGTAGATGAACTCCGAGTTGTAGGTTGTAGGTTGTAAGCTGAAGCATGTAGGTTGTAGGTTCGTGGGAGGCTGTAGTTTAGTAGGTTATTAGGTAATAGGTAATATTAGGACTTAGGTCAAGTTCGCTTGTTTTTTTTCCTCGGACCACTCAGACTTCATCCACACAATTTACTCGTACGCCTTACTGTTTGATGTATGAGTAACACTTCAAACATTTGTGTGTTCAAACACTTCAAACACTTCAAACATTTGATCATTATATTTGTGCATGTTTGACATAAAAACATATATTAATACAATTTCGTAAAATATGCAACTGTTTTTCACTTAGTGCCTGCCCCGCAATCTCCAGCATTTCAAATTGGACTTACTTGACACGGTTTTCGGAACATGGAAGAAGTTGAGACCGGGACAAATGACAATCAGCCTTTGTTTTTCCACAACCCTTCACACTACACCGCCGATTTCGCACTTGGCGGGATGGCGCCATTCCGTCCAACTCATACAGCCTCAGAAATTACAACAACTCACTCAACTAACGGAATATCCGTCAAACAAATCTTATTTACGACGACACGAGCCAATGCTAACAACGCTTGCCAGTTGCGGAGTGGAGACGTCAGAGAGAAAAAAGTCTTTAGATTTCTCCAATTTCCCCACGTAACGTTGAACGGCCATTGCGGCCTTATCTGGTATGCGACGGCCTTATCTGGCATACAAAATATCTCTAGAAGTCTCTAGCTAGTGTTAAGCCTATGGACTTATAGGGAAATGTATCCGAGTACTTGGTACTGCCTCCTCCAGGTACTGGCTGGCAGACGGATCAACTTTGGAGGCCCACCATTTGGAAATTAGGCAATTTTGAGACGAATGACTTCGGATCGGGGCCTCAGCCACCTTCATCTACACGTTTCACTGAGTAACTCCGAAATTTCGGAAAAAACCCTGATAATACCTTTAAGCATTTTTAGTCGTAAAGTCAAATGTCATAGTTTTATTTCAGTCATATTTTATTTGACTTTTCTTTTGTCCACCTTTTTAATGATATTGCCTCGTAACATGCTCGTAATGCGCTTGCTACATGATTGATGCTTTAACTTAAGGTTTGCAATAAATGCATCCAAAGAGCTTTCATATTGAATGAAACGCTTACCTACACCCGATCGAGGGCTAGCAGGTAAACAAAATCGCTCCAGCTCAGATATTCATAGCCAAACGAGGAGACAGACGTCGCACGTCTCCCAGTGACCGCTTTGTGCAGGCGCCGGGCACCAGACTACTTCAGTTACGTACAAAGGAGCTCATCAATTCTGATCATGGGGCGTCACATCCGGGACGACCAATCATTGGCTCAATCAGTCCAGTTATGACGTCAGTGTTACTGGGATACCGACCCCGTTTGCACGGAGGGGATTGGACGGGCGAATTCATGGTGCCGGGGAATCCTCATTTGCCCAGATGAGGGAATGATCCTTGGGTGATACGCCTCATTTTGTTTAGAGATTGGATAACAAAATTGGAGCTATGTCGGGTCAATATCTCATTTGGCCGTGCGATTTATGTCTGGGTTTCTGTTTCTAAGCATGCTTAACGAGATACAATTCGTGCATCATCAAAATGCAAACCTATAGGTTCCCAATAAAAAGCAGATTAAAACCACTTATTTTTAATTGTAGGTATATGAGATCTACCATAGATGATGTCGGGCGGTTCGTGGAGGGGATTCTGCCCACCCCCGCCGATCCTGACCCGAACGTCACAAGGATGGCGTGACGGCACACATACCAGACCCAGCAGGAGACCTTTGTCTTCCTCCAATCCGCACACGCCCCTCCCTCTCTCCCATTCAGTCCGCTCTCTCCTCCGACGTGTCTCCTACTCTCTCCCCGCGTCCCGTTCCGGCGCCCCACGGTGCAAGTGAGCCGACTGCTCACGATAGGTCAACAGTGTAGTGAGTACGGGTCAACAGTGCACTGAGTACAGGCCACGACAGGTCAACAGTGCAGGTCACGACGGGTCAACAGTGCGAGCCACGTCAGCTTAGCAATGCAGGTCAAACGCTTGGAACGGGTGTGGCTAGTTTCACTCAGCTTCACCATCGCTCGTCGACTCTTCAATTTATTTCACACGGCCGAAACGGATGTCAGCTCATGAAACGTACCATCCCACCCACTCAGTCTCCTGTTGCGTGTTTCGTTTCATGTGTCTTCCGTGTTTCTCGGGATATCGAACACATTTTACTCACGGTGATGGCGTTAATTTGAATCGATTGGTGTTTGGACATTCGTAAGCACAGACGCACACTTGCCAGCTGTGTGATTTTCACACCCAGCGGCCCACCGGGCGATGTCGCAACTTGTTCACATGGGGACAGTTGTGTGTCGGTGCTGTGTCGGACGACCAGGCTTTGCATTCTGATCGGCTGAGCGATGTGTACGCGCACACTAAGACCTCGGGTATCGTGACAATAACTCTGTTCCAAGTTGTAAATAAGCAGCTCTGACAGCTGCCTGACAATTTTTTTACATTGTATCTCACGAATTAAGTGTTCAGTGCTCACCAGAAAACGACCCCTTAGGTACTTATTTGTGGCTGAGGTCAAGAAACCTGTATGTGCTGTACCTCAAACTCAAAGAAGGAAGTGTTTTTGTGGTAGGATAATCGCGTTGTATAGTTGCACCATGGCAACTGTGCCAAAGATTGACTCAGTAATACAAAAAGTTAAAAGACTAATGCGTTTAAAAACACGCCAAACTCAAATTACCTGAACAGGAAAACAACCGTTCAGTAAATCTAGTAGAAAGATGAACGCACCAAAAGATCTTCGTTATAACGAAGGCACATTTCCTCCGATTTATTAAAAAACGGGTCACTTCGCACTCCAACATATCACAATTAAAACCACACCACAAACCACTACAAGCCACATCACTGTTCTATGCTGCGGTTCATCTAAGCGACAAACCGGAACAATCTGCGGTCATCACACTCGAGCCCATCTATAAAATAATCGATTTCTCTGTCACAGCTGGGAGATCCTATGGCGCCTACGAGACTCATTCCGGGCTCGGCCTCGCCCAGATGTCCATCGCCCACTTTATCTTCGCTAATGACACGTTGGATGATGGTCTAATGATGGGTCGCGGGGCCGTGTGGGTCCGATACTGGAGTCGATCTGCTCCTATCTGCCTGTATCTATTGCCGCTGATTCTACGGAGAATATTGCCGTGTTGTCGTATTATTGTATTGCAGTATTGACGTGCCGTGTCATTACGAGCGCAGCGCACACTGCGCTGCCCGCAGTACCTACACACAATACACAAGCAGCATTAGAGGAAAAGCTGGAAAATATTGCAGTGATCGAGCATGGTATTTCCACGGCTGCTGTGTCATGCATGTCGCCGGGGCGGTTTCCCGATCGGATAGCCAGAAAGGCGGTTAATGGAAACGGTGGAATTTTGTGAAATTCGCCAGCCTGCAGAGCGTGTGAATGTTATGAATGATCACGGTACGATCTGAGAATACTGAGAGTTCTGAGAAGCAGCTCCAGCGTACTTAGCAAGCTGCTGACTAATGCTGTCGATTGTAAATTGTTAGGGAGAGTGCTGCAGTGTGATCGGTTGGGTTTACCGTGTGAGCGGGTGGCAGTGTCTTATTGTAAGCGTGACACCGTCTCGTTTTGTGGATGCCGCGTTATGTTTTCAGTTTCGACTGTCAGTGATGTTTTACTTTTTCCATCTTTTGTTGCAGATGACGAGAACATTGATGATTCAGACGAAGGTCTGTTCATATTTAATGTCAAGACCAAAGTCCGGACAATATTGATACCACGCGCGCAATGGGTGAGTTCTAAAACTGTGGCAACTGACGCAAGTAATAAGACTCTTGAACATTGCGATGTTTAGTTAAACAGCTGCAACATTGAGTAAACGAGCATAATTGAACTCGGGTTAACGATTAAGCCTTCATTAGTCCAAAAGCCATCCAAAGTGAACTTTTTTCGGGAACCCTTTCTCTACAATAAACAAGTTTAACAAAATGTGGAACTTTCGGTCTCGTGTGCTCCTTTTACATCACTTCAGATCAAACGGTTCTTTACGGTTACCGAATGGCCATGGGTTCTCCTCGAGGCTTTTGCACCTTTTGATCTAGCTGTTTGTGCCACTAATTATCCCGATGAGTCACATGAAAAAGATATATGTAATTTGACCAATATGCCAACTTTAAATCGTAGCGCTTATTATCATATTTGATATTCCACTCGTTGAATCATGATGAAGAGGTCCTTAATTGGTCTGACCCTAGGTCACAGATCGCACTTTTGATCTTTTTATTGTGCTGCTTATTCTTGTTTGCTGCTTCACCGTCGACGTCAGCGAGATAAAATGAGCGGGATGCTGCGAAGGAAAGCAGTCTGCAGCCCGGGTGACCCCGCTGATACGCATGATAACGACGACGTCCGTCGCGGAAGCAGTGTAAAGGTCATGACCTTTGCAGGGTCTCACAGACAAGGAACTCCTTTATATGCGTCTCTTCCTCTCATCATTAGGTCATCCGGGGTGAAAGGTCATCGCATGAAACAAAAAAGTATCGTGGCTTGATTGGCGAGCGTGATCGTCCATTATGCGAAAATGTTGCACGACGCTGCTGTCGCGTGTGGAAGTGGTGTTGAGCAGGAGTTTCGCAGCCCAACAACCCGAACAACTTATCAGGTGAAGATTGAAACAGTAGAAAGGTTCATCTGCAGCCACTCCTTGCAGAAGATTCGACGCGACATGAGGATACGACCCCAACGGCAAAACGTCAGCGTAATTTTTTTTATGTGACAAAACCAATCATCTAACCTCAGGTGTCTTCTGAGACAAAATTAAAAATTAACGTTTGGCAGAGCGCACTCGACCTCCCCAGAAGGTGACTGTTGTGGCGCCGTGCGTTTTTCGCATCATGTACGACCAGGAGCCCCTCATTATGAGCTGAGGTCATATCGGTCGCCCACCGCGGGGTGGGGCGACATTCCTGCGCCGCTGGACGCCCTCCACAGTCCACGGTATTGTTGGGCGATGAAAAACTGCCGTTTTCGGGAGCTTTCACAGCATTCCAAACTCGAAAGTGAAACACCCGTCCCCAAAGGACGAATCGTCAATGCCGCGAGAGGCGTCGCTCATGCGATATGGAACTTTTATGGGTGGCGACTGGCGATGCTGCTCCCTCAGTGAAAGTCCTGGTCAATCTTTCAAGAGGACGGGCGCTTTAATTCCATCTCTCGCCGCTCGGTTCATTTTTCAGTAGGCGGTCGGACGGTCTTGAATACGGCTCGGTCTTTTGACGACCGGCTACCGCATTCATGAGGTCCCGTCTTGGTCCCGTCTACCATGGGACGGCTTAGAGCTGCCGGTTGCGACACCGCCCGGGGCCGGCTGATTACGGCCGGTACACGGGAGGAAAGGAACTGAGACTTGAGAGGATCCGACGGGACCGGCACTGGCCCATCGTAACCGGCTCCCCCGGGAAGGGAGCGGGTTCAGTCGCCAGTGGACGCCTTTCGCTGGCCGCCGGCATCACTAACCAGGCGCGATGGTGCCGTGAAAGTCGCGACCCGGCTGCTCAGGCTCAGCGGGCCAGGTCATGCAGCGTCCGTTGTCCGGCATGGGATTGCATCGATGCTCGAGCTCAAGGATACGCGAGAGACGGAGCCGCTGCTTGCAATGTATCTATGCTTCACATTCTCTGGAAATTATGCTTATCAAGCTAAGGCTGGCTGATCAAGCAGTTAAATTATCTTGAGTTTTATTTTTGCATGGTTTTCTTACCTAACCATGATCGCTTGGCTGTTTTAAATCCAGCGGCCAGCGGCCAGCGGGGATCCGATCTCGGGGCGAAATATTACGTTTATGCTTATCGAACGGACGCCATAAGACGTGCATTAGGTATACTCTCAAAATCCAAAACCAAATACGTCTCGAGGTATAGGTATGTTACGTAGGTATTGCATCCAGACCAGGCATCGCATTCGGACGTTTAATGCTTCCTCTCAGAAGCTGTGCGGTGAACAAATATCACAATATAGGTACGAACGCCCCTAATTTAATATACCCTGCGAACGCCTATGTCAATTCATTGCGTATTGCTTTAATTTCACGCTTTTTTCGCCGATACGAACTAACCGACCAACAGCAGGATACGAACGCCCCTAATTTAATATACCTATCCTGCGAACGCCTATGTCCATTCATTGCGTATTGCTTTAATTTTACGCTTTTTCGCCGATACGAATCAACCCACCAACAGCAGTATTTACTCCTAAGTTAAAAATCGTATCCGTCCTCGTTTTCACTTGACCATTACCTTTATTACGAGCGAGCGAGCGCAGCGAGCGAAGTGAGTCTTTTCAACGGGCTATATAATTACGAGCGAGCGAGCGCAGCGAGCGAAGTGAGTCTTTTCAATATAACGGAAAAATCTCAGTATGAGCGGCCCGGCCCGGCCCGGCCCGGCCCGGCCCGGCCTGTAACGCTTTTGAGAGGCTTATATCTCAGCAACCGCTGGACCGATTGGCCTGCGGTCTTTTTTGTTGGGTAACCCCATCCCTTCTACCCCGTAATTGACTACTGTTGATACATCTCAGTGACCGTCGTGGCACGTGCCACGTGAAAAGTCAAGGGTGTTCAAGCTGTTTTGCAAAAGTAGTGATTTTGAGAGGCTCATATCTCAGCAGCCGCTTGGGCGATTGACTTGCGGTAATTTTTGTAGGGTAGCAGCATCCCTTCTACCAAAAATAGGATACTCTCGATGTATGTGGGTCACCCCCAGTGCACGTGCAAAATACAACAATAAGAGGTGCCAAATTTGTTCCCATTTCAGTAACTTGGTAATTACTGGGGCGATTTCGCTGAAACTTGGCATACAGGTAGGCACCCACCAGGCAATGCATTCCCATGTGTTGCGGTTAGTGTGCTACTGCACGTGCGCACGTGCAGGGGGCGTTTCCAGATCTCGAGAACGGCTGGGCCGATTGCGCTCAAATTTGGTACACGGTTGGGGACCAGTTAGTAGGGTGCCGTGCAAAAGTCATTTTGGACCCCGTTTGCACGTGCGCACGTGCAGAATGCCGCTTCCAGATCTCGGGAACGGCTGGGCCGATTGCGTTCAAATTTGGCACACCGCTAGCGACCAGTTAGAAGGGTGCTTTGCGCAAGCCCGTTGGAAGCACCCTCTCGTCCTTCCGCACGTGCAGGGCTCACTATCTCGCTCGCTCGTTCTTCGCCCAAAAGGCGTTTTACTGGTATAATATAACGGAAAAATCTCAGTATGAGCGGCCCGGCCCGGCCCGGCCTGTAACGCTTTTGAGAGGCTTATATCTCAGCAACCGCTGGACCGATTGGCATGGGGTCTTTTTTGCTGGGTAGCCCCATCCCTTCTTCCCCGTAATTGACTACTTTTGATACATCTCAGTGACCGTCGTGGCACGTGCCACGTGAAAAGTCAAAGGTGTTCAAGCTGTTTTGCAAAAGTAGTGATTTTGAGAGGCTCATATCTCAGCAGCCGCTTGGGCGATTGTCTTGCGGTAATTTTTGTAGGGTAGCTGCATCCTTTCTACCAAAGGTCGTATACTCTTAATCTATGTGAGTGACCTCCACTGCACGTGCAAAATGCAAAAAGAAGAGGTGCCAAATTTGTTCCCATTTCAATAACTCTGTAAGTACTGGGGCGATTTCGCTGAAACTTCACATACAGGTAGGCACCCACCAGGCAATGCATTCCCATGTGTTGCGGTTAGGGTGCTACTGCACGTGCGCACGTGCGGGGGGCGCTCCCAGATCTCGAGAACGGCTGGGCCGATTGCGCTCAAATTTGGTACACGGTTGGGGACCGGTTAGAAGGGTGCCGTGCAAAAGTCAGTTTGGACCCCGTTTGCACGTGCGCACGTGCAGAATGCCACTTCCAGATCTCAAGAACGGCTGGACCGATTGCGTTCAAATTTGGCACACCGCTAGCGACCGGTTAGAAGGGTGCTTTGCACAAGCCCGTTGGAAGTACCCTCACGCCCTTCCGCACGTGCAGGGCTCACTATCTCGCTCGCTCGTTCTTCGCCCAAAAGGCGTTTTACTGGTTTTATATAACCATTAACCGGTGACGTGCTATCATCGTGAGTTGTTTTTGCTAATGGTGTCATGTTTACGCTATGTTCACGGCAGCAGCAACTGCTATTTTCCTTGTCGCTTTATTCCCCACAGCCCAGTGCTGCTAATGGATCCATATGAGGAAGCGCTGTTTATTGTGATTAGTCCGGAAGCTTTGTTTATTATCATTAGTCAAGGGTGTTTGGTTGATTGCGCAATTGCCTCGAGGCCGTAGGTCCTAGATGGTACAGGCTGAGCCCCATTACCTTGATGTCGCGATGCCGATTGCGGCCGTTGGGGTCAAGAGGTGGAGCATGGTCTATGGGGGAAGTGGCATGGGGCGCTGGAGGACCGAGGAAGTTCCCTTCAAAATTTAGGTATTTTTGTTACTTAGGTTGTAGGTGCGTTTGCTGATGAATTTATGCAACCCCAAGGCCAAAAATTAGCCAGTTTTAGTTCAACTGACAGACCATGCTCCAATAGGTCAGCGATTGCCCCACATTTCATTGATCGCTACCCATGCCGTACTGCCTCATAGTACCTACCTATGGTGTGGACTGTAGACCACCCTTATAATGCCGTTCTGTTTATGTTTCAGAGTAAGCTGGCTTCCCACCGACGATCATTGTCCGACAGCCGTCAGTACGTGCTGTGTCCTCATAGTGCCAAACAGGTGAGCCACGTGTGTGTGTTCTCTTACCCGCTGATAGCTCTGACAGTCGTCAGTACCTAGGTACGTGCTGTTGCCAAACAGGTGAGCTATGTGTGTGTGTTCTCTCAGCCCCTGACAGCCGACTATCAGCTAGCTGAGCAGTTGGGTGACATTGCAAGTACCACCGACTGTCTATCTAGATAACCCAACCAATTACGTGAGTGCACATCCGGCTGTGACAAGGCTATGGAACGGGTTCAATGCAGTCACGCTTAGCTGACATTAATCTAACGGTGCCGGTTGGCGGTTACAGCCACGCCCAATCTGACGAACAAAACAGTTGTTTGATGGCTGGTCGACCCTCGGGAATCAATTAAGGTTGTTTTCGTATGCTGTGCCAACCGACATTCACGTGAATAGACGTTCACTGTGCCTGTGGACTCCTGACTTCCGACTAGGCTGTGGAAATGGTATTAGCGTTATCAGATCATGGCTATAGGAGGGAGCAGAAAACACGAGTGAGTGATAGGTCACACTGGTTGCACGTCAGCAGCCCTCAGGGGTTGAGCAAGTGATTCGTGAATACGGTGTGCACTGTGCAGTAAGTGCCAGTGTTGATGTTATCTTGCAGAGAAGCTGGCAATAGGGGCTGCTGGTAGGGCAGCCGCCAGCCACCTGTCAGTGGTGAGGTTGTTTTGCCTGACTCGCGTTTGTTTCGTTTTCCAGATTTATCGGTACACCCGGCTATCGTTATATGATATCTACGATGTTAAAAATAAGTAAGTACGCAATGCTACCGTAGAACGTACCTACATATTTCAATGTAGCAGATAAAGTTACGGATGCAAGTTGCATGAGCATAACCGTCTAACAAACTTAATTGAATCAACACTCAGCAGCAAGCTATTTTCTGTTAAATGCAGTATTCTTTTGATTCCGCCCCCGCTCGCTGTACGACTCACAATGCTGCCAATCTGACCTGAGTTTCTCCCCCCCCCCCCCAGCCGTGTCATACCCCTCACTCTGGGGCCAGACGCGCCCCGGCGGCGGCTTCAGTATGCCACCTGGGTGCCTGGACGGGACAGCATCGTCTTCGTCTTCGAGAACAACATCTACATCCGGCCACTCATCACCAGTCCTGAGGTGGTGAAGGTCACCAGCACCGGCATCAACAACGTCGTCTACAACGGCATTCCCGACTGGGTGTACGAAGGTCGGTGGCCAGAGGGGTCGCGGTTGGGTGCTGAGGGTGCATTCTCAGGTCCCGTCATGCTCGGTGATTGAAGGGACAAAGACCTTGCGTAAAGTTTATAATTCCGCGTGCATAGATCTACCATGTCCAGCAGTCTTTGCCGAGTCGTTTTTTGTCTCTTTTTTCAATGCTACATAGCTGGAAAATAAGGGAAACGCTTATTAGGCCCCCGTTGCCCGCGCCACTATCACCAAGCGTTCGCCTCAGTTGGCTGATATTGATATTGAAACTTCTCGCCCACTCTCTGCTCCACTCGCCGTCCGTCGCAGTCGACGACTGCCGTTCGCGCCTCTCGGCTCTCCTGCCAGCGGCGCGCCCGTTCCTACACTCCCCTTCGCACCACCCCTAGTCAGGGTCTGCTCCGCGTCTGTCGGCGGGGTGATTTATCTGTCTCCGACCCCCCTCTCCCTTTGCTCCGGTCACGTTCAGTGGCGCCCGGGCAGGGTCCTAACCTTCCATAGCCGCGTCGCCGCTATGAGTTGATTCTGTTTCCCTAACTGCCGCCGAAGCCTACGCTTCTCTTCTCGGCACCGGCACCAGAAAAACGGTACCCCTTCCTGGGACGTGCCCTGAGCGCACCACGCAGCATAAGCGTCCATTATGCCGGCCTAGCCACCGCGCTAGAATCAGCGCCGATGAATAAGTAGCAGTCGGTGCGTGACAGCGCGCTTTCACGCCATTTTAGAAGCTTGGATCCGTTCACTGGCTAATTTGCGGTGGGTAGGTTCTCAGCACGGTAACATACTTTTGCGTGCCGCCGAGCCGCAACTGACCTTCGAGGAAATATCACCTGAGGCGCGGCCGTTACACCCCGGCCATTCGCAGCTAACTTATCAACCGCGGAACTGTGCAGGACGCTCACCCAACTGATGAGTGTTTATGCTATGGTACTACCTACTGCTTTTGATGTTATTCTGACCGTGGTCTGGTGTGCTTCCAGAGGAGGTGATTGGCGAGGACAACACGATCTGGTTCAGCGAGGACGGCAAGATGATGGCCTACGCCTCCTTCAACGACACCAATGTGGACATCATGCCGCTGCAGCTGTACGGAGAGGCCGGCAAACTCGAGTACCAGTACCCCATCACTATTCCGCTGAGATACCCCAAGGTGAGTACCAGTACTCCATCACTATTCCGCTGAGATACCCCAAGGTGAGTAACCGTACCCCATCACTATTCCGCTGCGGTACCCCTAGGTGAGTACCAGTACCCCATCACTATTCCGCTGCGGTACCCTAAGGTGAGTACCAGTACCCCATCACTGTTCCGCTGAGATACCCCAAGGTGAGTACCAGTACTCCATCACTATTCCGCTGAGATACCCCAAAGTGAGTAACCGGTCACTATCACTAGTACCAGTACCAGTACCATATCGTTATCTCTCTGTGGGGATTGAAGAATCAATCCCGTATTAAGAACTATTAAGTGCCTTATCGCTATAGAAGTTTTACCGCTCTGCAGGTACGATATTCATCTGACCGTTCGGTGATTTGACACTCGGTGATTTGATGTCCCTTTATCTCACACGATTCACTCCCATGGCTGCCGCGGTGTGTTCCTCGTTAATTGGAAATCAATCGATGACCCTATCTCGTTATGTTTTCGTTTCCAGCCTGGTCGTGATAACCCCACTGTAGCTGTGTATATCGTGGATCTGGACAGAGCCATAGCCAAGAAACCGGCGGTCAAGCTGGTGCCTCCGCCAGCAGAATTCAGCGCTAAGTAAGACTTACTTGGGTTGTGACGGAGAATCGACCTGTATGTGTCATGAGTGTTTTGTATAAGGCAGTAGGTATGTTTGCTCCATTGAAGTTTCGTAGTAGCTATAGTATTGCTACGTTGCGGATTGTATTTCGTGATGTCAAGTATCAGTGGAAATGCGAAACGGTCATTAGGTTTTCATGTGAGTCATTTTCATCGTACACATTTTTTGTCTTTTTATCCCGTCCCGCCCTGTCTATTGGAAGCATGAGTCATCCATCGATCCATTTCTACATATCACTCCTACATACCGGCACCCCGTACCGCCAACACCCCTCGACCGCGGCAGCAGCCCGCTGCGGCCTAACCACATCACGCACGGACCGTATTATCCCTGCGGAGATATTACCTCCTTCTGCCCGGCCTACCCGGCTAGCCGAACCGGATATCGAACAGTGAGGCTATTCACGGGCGAATAATGCGGGCTCGTGCCGCCACGTACTCCGTGACACGTACCGCCACGTACTCTTTGCCACGTACTGAGACACGTACCGCGTGTCGTATCGTGCTGTGTCGTGTGTGTCGTTGGTCAATGCAGACAGCACGTGCCACGTACTGGCTGAGTGGTGGAGCGATTCACGACTGTCCTCGCCCTCCAGAGAGCACTACCTGACGCGGGCCGCGTGGGCTGACAACGCGTCACTGGCACTGACGTGGATGAACCGACATCAGAACCATACCATCATGACGCTGTTCACGGCCGCTACGTCACAGATGAGCACGGTGGGTGGGGCGCTGATGTGACGTCAGAAGCGTCAGTAGATGTTGCTGGGATGTAGCTCTTAGTTATTCTATGCCGTACAAAAACTTCAACTATTTATGACTGTTAGTTCGCAGTTGATCGAGAATGCTAATGCTGATCTGTTGGGAACGAAAAATATGTCATTGCAATAAGCGGAGCAGGACAGTGCGATTCGCACATGTAAAAAATGTTTTCCAGCCAATAGTTCCAAGAGAAGCTTGTAGCTCCGTTTACTTGTAGCTTGTAGCTTGACTTGTATGTAGCTTCGTTCACACCGTTTCTATATCTCATCTCCGTGCCTCATCTCCCGCCCTGCACTTCTCTCAGATTCTAGACCAGCCGAGCCCGGACAACGCGTGGTGCGACATCGAAGAGGTTCCCATCTGGAGCAAGGACGGTTCCTCGTTCATCACCCTGCTGCCCAAGCTGGAGGGCAGCGCCGGTCACTACAAACACATCCACACGGTGTGGCGTAACGGCCTAGCGCGGGTCCCCATCACCTCGGGACGGATGACCGTGACCGAGATCCTGCACTGGGATCAGGATAATAACCTCATGTGAGGGAAAGGATTGGGAAGTATGGATGGGAATGGGAAGACCTCATGTGAGGGAATGGGAGCGAGGGAGGGAGAGGGGTGGGGAGGGGAAGGAGAGAGGAAGGAGGAAGGGAACTAAAGAATGAAGGAAGGAGGAATAGACTGGGATGGGTAAGGGGAGGGATAAGACGGACGAAAAGGAGATGTAGGGTTATGCGGAACTACAAGTCATGGATCTCATTTTTCGGTTTAAGTCGAACCGAATTGAATGGATAAAACATGCGTAACTCCTCGTACTCGTCAACCAGTGTCTAATCGTGCCGCCTTCCTCTCCAGCTACTTCAAGGCCGCCCCGGAGGAGGAGGCGTCTCAGCGCCACCTGTACACCGTCACCGATATCAAGGCCGCCACCTCCGGAATCATCACCTGCATCACGTGCAATGCCACGGCACCGGGCGGTCAGCCGTGCGCCAAAAACTCCTTCGACTTTAGTACGGGAGGATCGCACTACGTTTGGACGTGCCAGGGACCGAGCACTGTGCCGCGGGTCAGCCTCCGACACACGGAGAATCACCAGGAGCTGATGCTGATCGCTGATAACAAGGCGCTCAGCAGGGACCTGGCTGGGAAGGTGCTGCCGCAGGTCAGTGATAAAGATGGGCTGTGGAAAGGAGGGACGGGGGAATGAATGGACGGTGGGGGAGGGGGGGGGGCTGGGTGGAAAGAACGACTGGCGGATGATGATGATTCTACGCATTGACTGAGGTACATCTATGAAATAATTCCTAAGTAATTCATAGATAGCAAAGGCTTAATACATGACGCTCAGTGGCTGTGCGGCTGCTTGTTGCTTCCTCGCGATATGCGACTGATAGGTGCGAGTGCCAAGCCGCACTAGTTACACCTGGGAGTGCTCGAAAACAAATAACAATCGCTGGGATGGGCAGCGTTTGAGCAGCGCCAGCATATTCAACACCCTGACCACCGCCACCATCATCCCGTTCTTTGCAGGAGATGAGGCTGATGCTGGATGTGGCGGACGGCTTCAAGGCCCGCGTCAGGATGAAGCTGCCGCCCGGACTCAAGGAGGACTCCAGCAGAAAGTACCCCATGCTCGTCTACACGTGAGTAAAGCCCACAATGCAGGTACCCAGCCGCAGAACACGTCTCAACACTGGTAGATTCCATATACCTGACGTTCGTTGCACGAAAATACACCTTTAGGATTCGTAAAGCTGATATTGATTTGGTATAGGTTCTCGGTGTTTTGTTCTCCCAGCTGCCCTCTGACAAGTCGCATAGCCGAACAAAGTATGATTTTATTCGTATGTGCCCGCCCTCCTCACACCCCTCTCCCCCTCCCCAAACAGGTACGGCGGCCCCAACAGTCAGGTGATTGGTGACGGCTGGGGCGTGGCCTGGGACGACCACCTGGTCACCGAACGGGACATCATCTACGTCACCATTGACGGGCGCGGCTCGGGCTACCGGGGTGACCGACTGCTGCATTCCATCTACTACAAAATGGGCATGGTCGAGGTGGAGGATCAGATCGCTGTGGCCAAGTGAGTTAGCGTTGTGTGGCTTCATTTATGCATTCACGTCTGTTTGTGCGTGTTTGTGAGTAATGTCAATAAGCCGGGGAGGGGATAATGATTTTGAGTCATTGTTAGGTCGCTTTAAATTCGTTTATTTTGTTTTGTTTTCAATGATGGGATTGAAGGACAACATTCCTCGCTGGTACAATTCGTCTATATGGCTTTATTTGCTTAAATACGTTTCATTGTTAACCTTGATGCCTTATTCTTAAATACGCCACGCAGTCAAATGCGTCAGTGAAATTACACTCGTCCCAGTCGTCCCTATTTTCTCGCCTCCCTCACCTCTTCACCACCCTGCCTTTCCACAGGAAGCTGACGGCGCTGTACGACTTTATCGACGCCAACCGGACTGCCATCTGGGGCTGGTCGTACGGCGGCTACGTGACGGCCAGAGTGATGGCCACAGATACCCAGCAGGTGTTCAAGTGCGGCATCTCGGTGGCGCCCGTCACCAACTGGATCTACTACGGTGGGTTGGAGAGAGATCATGCTACTACGGTGGGTTGGAGGGAGAGGACTAGGAGGGATGAGGAGGGATAGGGAGGGATCCACGGTGGGTTAGAGGAAACGGAGAGGAGTAAAGAGGGCTGTTGTGCGATGGAGAGGACATTAGGTGGAGCATTTGGTGATGGTTTAGTGCATATTGTACGGAAATCAGGGCTGTTGAGAGTTGAGACAATGTTAAACGTTAGTGGCATATAAAAACGTTAGTGCCATAGGCATTCCGTCGATCATGTCGTACCCGTTCTTCCCAGTCAGCCGATCGTTTGTTTCCATCTCGGGGTAAACTCGCATCTTTGTCTCTCCGTAGAACAACCCCTGACCTGCTCCGCCCTCTGTTTTCCCTTCAGATACCATCTACACCGAGCGCTACATGGGCCTGCCGACGGCGGACGACAACGCTCGCGGCTACGCGGCCGGTGACGTGTCTGGAACGGTGGACAACTTCCGCAACAAGCAGTACCTGCTGATTCACGGCACGGCCGACGACAACGTGCACTACCAGCAGTCGATGATGCTGTCCCGCTCGCTGGAGCAGGCCGACATCATGTTCAGGCAGCAGGTCCGTGGTGGGGAGGGAGAGGGTGGGACTGCTTTGGCTCGTCTCCTGGCAGCTGTTGTGGTGTAATGTGCGGCTCTGGTAGGTGTACCGGGCGGCCGCTGCCAGTGCTGGGCCGTGGGAGCCCGGTGGATGGGGAGTAGTGGAACATCTATCTGCCCCCGAGTGTACAAGGGAATTATTCGATAGACTCGATTAAAGCGTGAGGTTTTCCCATTATCTTTTTGCTCAGTAACTGAAAACCCAATACCCGTTGTATGTACATTATCAGCATAATGAAGCACGATACCTTTTTCGATTATAATTGCACAGATGATTTGTTATCCAGTGTCCAATTGTGCTATCAGATATCAATAGGCACGGCGCTAGGAGAGCTCAGGACACTTGCTTGTGTGGGTAGATACTGCAATTATCAATATCTTATTACAGCCACCGCCAATTATTGGCACTGGGTCGAACATCATGAATATCGCTCAATGCTTCTCCTCGTCTCCTAACGCGGCTCCATGCTGACAGCTCTTTGACCATTATCCGCCCTGTGTCTCTTACAGACGTACCCGGACGAGAACCACGGTCTGGGCGGCATCCGTCGCCACCACTACCACACCATGGAGCGGTTCCTGGAGGACTGTTTCCGCCTACCTCGGCTGCCGTTCAGCCCACCGCCCGCCTTCCCCGGCCGCCGCCGGCGCGCGTAGGAATTAGGAAGATCACGCAATCACCACCGCCTCTGCTGTCCGAGCAGGGGAGTCTTCAACGTTCATCAGGCTTAGAAAGAAGGAGCGAGGGCGACTGAATGTCTTTACACCGATCCTACAAAGCCCGGTACAGCTGCTACTCTGAGGTTGAATAAAGCCGAGTGTTGTCTCAGTGCAGGCTGGTTCGCCCTACTGACCCACCAACCGGAGCGGCGCAAATGGTACTACGGAGGGGTGAATGGCTCTAGGACACTGGTGTTACGGTGATTTTTGTCAGCCGGCATACCTATAAAGCAGTGCTGTCTGAAGGTGGTTGGCAGGCAGCTGGCAGCGGCTTGTCGTGAATTGAGCTTCGGGAAAAGACTGGATGACGTAACGAGCAGCTGACGAGCTAAACAAAAAGTAGGAACGTGTCGGTGGATCCCGTATTTTGGAGATTTTACTGCGTGAGCTGAGAGCTCTCCCCGTGGTGCTACCCGGCGCACTATGAATGAATCTCCCCGTGAATGCCAATTATCAGACAATTCGTGATGGTCTGAGAACCCGGCGATGTGTGTATCATTATATTTGGCGTTAGTGGAGGTGGTGACTATGTAAGAAGTAAGCCAGTTTTGTGAGAACATCTTTCATAGGGCAGTGTTAACATCAGTCATTGATTTGTGCCCTAGCGTTAGCGGTAAAAAGGCGATAGCCGACGGTTTGTCAATCACGTTTATTTGCTCTTAAGAATCTCTACAATCTACATAATGGTGTACCCGAACTAGACTGACTAGCGTTCCGACCTGCATTCCACATATGTGCGGATGGCCAGTGTTTTGATCCGCATGGAAAACCCTTGTTAGCCCACTGAGTGTGACAATGGAATCATCCCGCGTCTTGCCGTACATAATACGGCGGCCTCCTGTTGGCCAATCGGTGTGTTCAGTATCATTGAGCGAACGGCCGCAGGTCTCCATAGAAACCGTGATTTGTGTTCCCTGGTTGACACACTGATGATGTATCTGAGACCGCCACTGCGTCTCTGCGTGAGATTGTCGTGGGGTCTCCGTGGAACTCCCAAGTGGTCGGCGTTTAGCTGTAGGCTTGTGACTGATCTGTAAGCGAATATGCCATGTTATAGAGCGACTCTGTCAACAGACAGGCGCAGTGGGACGCGCCACGGCCGCCGCCCAAGTGTATGTACGCTCGGCGGAGTATCGGGAGTATTTTGGAATGTTGTGCTGGTGTGCGGTGTGTGTGACTGATATGTAATGTGACGTGTCGCGCGCTCAATATGAAAACCATCCGCCATCTTGGATGTTTGTGACCTGGACAAAAAATAGTACCAACAAAACACTCGAAAAATGGATTGTTACGGAGCGTGATTTATATTACAAGTACATAACTGGCACAAACTACGTCACAGCCGGTTTAGCGGACATAGCCATATCGATCCTCTCATAATCCATGGTTCAAACTTGAAAAATCTTACAGAAACGTCCTCTGGTATCCGGACACAACACAGTCGCGAGATTTCTTCTGCGGACGGTCCCATGTTGCCGATTACGTGACAAAAGATCGTAAGACAAAAGATCGTATGGAAAAAGATCGTACGAAAATGATCGTAAGATAAAGATCGTATGTTGTAAAAGATCGTACGGTAAAAAGATCGTAAGCAAAAGGTCGTAAAGCAATTGATCGTATGCAAAAGATCGTACGAAAATGATCGTAAGATAAAGATCGTATGTTGTAAAAGATCGTACGACAAAAAGATCGTAAGCAAAAGATCGTAAAGCAATTGATCGTATGAAAAAGGTCGTAGGAAAATGATCGTAAGATAAATATCGTATGTCGCAAAAGATCGTACGACCAAGGATCGTAAGCAAAAGATCGTAAAGCAATGGATCGTGGAAAAAAAGATCGTAGGAAAATGATCGTAAGATAAAGATCGTATGATGTAAAAGATCGTTCGACAAAAGATCGAAACGTTACGTTCGTAAAGTAAATAATCGTATAGGTACACAGAATAGTGTTGTTACGAGCGAGCGAGCGCAGCGAGCGAAGCGAAGTCTTTTGAATATCAGGCAGCTTTTGCCAAATTGTCAGGGAACTCAGATTTGTTTTTCAATAGAAAAACACAATTCTAAAGAATAGTGTTTTAACTATTGACAACAAACGTTCGGTTATAACGGGAAAATCTCAGTATGAGCGGCCCGGCCTGTAACGCTTTTGAGATGCTTATATCTCAGCAACCGCTGAACCGATTGGCCTGCGGTCTTTTTTGCTGGGTAGTCCCATCCCTTCTTCCCCGTAATTGACTACTTTTGATACATCTCAGTGGCCGTCGTGGCACGTGCCACGTGAGAAGTCAAGGGTGTTCAAGCAGTTTTGCAAAAGTAATGATTTTGAGAGGCCCATATCTCAGCAGCGGCTTGAGCGATTGTCTTGCGGTAATTTTTATAGGGTAGCTGCATCCCTTCTACCAAAGGTCGGATACCCTTGATCTGTGTGAGTGACCCCCAATGCACGTGCAAAATACAAAAAGAAGAGGTGCCAAATTTGTTCCCATTTCAATAACTCGGTAATTACTGGGGCGATTTCGAACCAATGATGGACAATTGACATCTTTAACCGGCCTTCGATAACAATGACTCCTATAACTAGGATTGGATTGAAACTAGGATCCTATAACTAGGAGAATTGCGACTTCGATAGTGATAACGCGATAAACATCTGTTGATGACTCGTAAAGCGATGACGATTCAATATGAAAATGTAACGGTGCGAAGGAAAAAGTATTTTTAACGCCGTTTACTTCAGCCGCTTAAGCAACATTTTAACCTTCCAGGCGGTGTGGGGGTGTGTGGGGGGGAACATGGGTTTAGTTGTATTCACTTAAAATAGGTACATGAAAACGGCATCACATACATTCATTTATTCGGCACATACATATACAACGCGTTGCTTGTAGGTGTCATTGAGCCATCGGGTGCACGTCAGAATAGCTAGTGACATTTGAGCTAGTGACTTTTGAACTAGTACAAAACAGCTAGTGCCTCAAAACAGCTAGTGACAAAACAGCTAGCGTCAAAATGGCTAGTGAAGCAAAATAGCTAGTGCTTAGAAACAGCTAGTGACAAAACAGCTAGCGTCAAAGTAGCTAGTGAAGCATAAAGAGCTAGTGCCTCAAGACAGCTAGTGACGAAATAGCTATCGTCAAAATAGCAATTTCGTTGGACCTCTGTTCCCTTCCCATTCACTTCGCTTCAAAAATGCAAGATATCTTTGACTGTAAATATGTATTTCCCGCGATATGCCATCTCTTTAATTCCCCGGTGCCCCGCTTCTAATTTGCTGTTTGTCCTAGGGATCCCGTCCTCTGCCCTCCTAGCATTCCAAATAATTTTGTCAAACTACGGTGCTCTTCTGCTCCTTCTACCCGTGGGGACTCTTCGTCGGGAAAGAATCTATAATAGCTGCTCTACGAATAAGCTATTTTGCTTATTAGCTATTAGTCGACGCTAGCGATTTCTATAGCTACATGGGCGTAGGAACGGCTGGAACATTGTGGGTGCATGGGTACAGAAATCCAGCCATGGCCGGTGAAGCCGGGGGGGGGGGAGGGGGTAGGGAGCGGCACCCGAGCGGAGGCTCCTTGTGAGCTTCGAGGGTGTACCATGTCGAAAAGGTACCTACCGATGTTAAGTGTATTTAGAAGCGTTGATAATGTCAATATTGACTACCGCAAAAAGTACCTAAATGCGGCTAACTTAGCCATTTTCGAAGATAGGTATCGGGCTAAAACTTTTGACAGTGGGTCATCGGTATGTGTTCAATCACATGTGTTCCGTTGCTTTCTTTTTTACTTGAGCGCAAATGTAAGTTTTGAAGACTATCACAGTAGCAAACGCTTCTAAAGGTGGAAAGTGGGCAAAAAAACCTGAATTTGTTGTGCTGCATGGGAAGTAGTGTTGATGAGAAAAGGGGTTTTTGTTCCAGATTATTGTGGGTGCAGAATACATTGTCTGCACCCACTGGAGAATTATTGTGGGTGCAACTGCACCCACTGCACCCATGGTTCCTACGCTTATGACTAGCAATAATGAAGCACTAGCTATTTTGCTCTACTAGCTATATTGACGCTAGCTGTTTAGACACTAGCTGATTTAATGCACTAGCTATTTTGCATTACTAGCTATTTTGGCGCTAGCTGTGTTGTCACTAGCTGTTTTGAAGCACTAGCTCTTTTGTACTAGCTCAAAAGTCACTAGCTCAATAGTCACTAGCTGTTTTGACGTGGACCCGAGCCATCTAAGCTCTGAAATAAAATCAATGTATGGTCGAGCTTACGACGGCCACTTACTACGCGAACACAGAAATTGATAAGCTTTGTAAGCGCTGGAGTTGGGCTGCACCATGTGAATACCATATTTTGACTGTACGATCTTTATCTCATACGATCATTTGGCGTACGATCATTTTCCTTGACGATCTTTAGCGAATACGATCTTTTGTCCATACGATCATTATGTCGTACGATCTTTATCCATTACGACTTTTTGGCATACGATCATTTTCCTTGACGATCTTTAGCGAATACGATCTTTTGTCCATACGATCATTATGTCGTACGATCTTTATCCATTACGACTTTTTGGCATACGATCATTTTCCTTGACGATCTTTAGCGAATACGATCTTTTGTCCATACGAGCATTATGTCGTACGATCTTTATCCATTACGATATTTTGCATACGATCAACTGCCTACGATCTTCTGTCATACGATTTTCTGCTTTACGATCTTTTGTCCGGTTACCCATGTTGCCCCACTAGTCGCCCGCCTCCTCTAGCGGCGGCGCCTCACTCACTATTAGCTGCACCGGCTCATAGATGGCAATGTCGTCGGCCCCCACCGGCTCAACGAGGACCGGTCCGCTCGCTGGCGCCTGAGGGAGAAGATATAGTGTCAGACGTTAGACAGAACACAGTTGCTACAGAGGCACATAACGCCTCACGGCAGGCATTCAACAGGACGTGTGGGATGAATGTAACTGAATGAAGTCAATTTTTGCCGTAGGTAATCGTGTGTATAGTATTGAGCGGGCATGCTGCATGCCTTAATGGCCCTTTCACACGTAGCAACTTTTCAGTCGCCGGCGACAGCAGCAGTCGCCGGCGACCGCCAGCGACCGCCAGCCAACGATCGTGTGTGACGTAGGTATGACGTAAGCAAGTCGCCGGCGATCGCCGGGCCACGGCCGGGCAATCGCCAGCAACTGGTGACGTCAGATCCGCGTCACAGGCCAGTCGCCGGCGACTCTTCTCGAGCAGCGGACGCCGCCATGACAGTTTTGTCCTTGGTGAGTGGTTTAGGTGATTTGTGATGCATTTTTGGTTGGTGTGGCTACCTTAAATTTGTTGCACAGTAGCGTAGGGATTATTATCTTGTAGTTTGCCTGTCGTGAAGCTGTTGTGACTTGAATTTAAGCTTGATTCGACAATATTGGAGGGTTTATGTCATTTGTGGCGCACTTGCCCATGATCACCCATGATTTTTATTTGTGATAAATATGTATTTTTTCATCAAAATTGAGTATTTTAATGACATTGAAATTGACACTAGTTTCATAAGGTAATGAAAACTTGCTTGTTGTGTCACAAGAACATTGTTTACATTCAGTATCAGTGCCCTTGAGGACAAAGTGCCTACCCATCAGTCAGCTATTTGCCTACCTATTCGTGCGACACAAGGAAATATTTGATAGCAACAAAATATTATATTGCTGCTCATTAATTAGCATGACCAAAATCAAACAGGTAGCTTTGCAATTTTGTTATTGTTTCTGCTGGAGTTTTCCTTGGTACCATGGATAAACAACCCAGGCCAAACTTATCCGCATTGGGTTCGCATGTGTGTGCGTGCTCACAGGGCAAATGATAATCCATGGCTTATTAGTACATAAATAATTGCATTATGCATAGTAGGTGGTAGGTATGTCATGTATTTTGGCAAGGTATTAGGTGGTATGTATTTTGGCCCTGGAGCTGTTTCCTATTCATTGCAGCAATGCTGCCGGCATGGCTTATGTGTACCATGCGCACACAAGCTCCACCAATGTAAAAATGTCATTTTCACACAAAACTCATAATTGGAGGAAGGTAGAGCAGACCAAGAATAAGCGGGCATTTGCTGCAGTGTGGAAAAAGTCACTAGAGGCTTGATACTTTTTTACATGCAGCAGCCTGGAGATGTCCACAGAGGCATGCCTGAGGATGTCCACAGAGGTGGATCCAGGCAATAGTTTTTACAATCTTCTCCCCTTGTGCCCACTGTGTGTTGTGCTGACTGCTTATCCCCCTTCTGGTGGTGCCTAGACTTGCCTCTGCATATCTCCCCAGGCTGCTGCATAATGTCTAAAAAAACCCTCAAGCCTCTAGTGACTTTAATCACTCCAGTCTCTACAGCATATGCCCACTCATGCTACAGCTGCCTTAACAATACCAAAATTAGTAACAATGGTCTCATAACCATATTCAGTAGGAAATGAATTACCTAGAAAATTATATTAAAAATACACTTGCTTTCAAAAAGAATGAGCACTGCTAAAATGCTATTATTTCAAATAATGCTAGGTTTCTGAACCACAAATTCCAATTCTGTGTCACTGAATACTGATTGCCAATTGTACAAGACAAAAAGCGTCAACAATGCTACATCAAGGATAATGATGCTAAGATTGTTCTCATTTAAGCCTGAAGTGTAAAAACCAAACCTAACCTGATTTGGGTATTTGGGTAAACCAAACCTAACCTGATTTGGGTATTTGGGTAGTTTTTATGATGCTAAGCAATAGCCTATTCCAGGCTTCCTAATTTGCAGAGCTTTTGGTTAAAAAATGATTTTTAAAAATGTATTTGAAGTATGTTCTGACATGTCCGCCCTCTGTGCCTGGCAGACAAGTCACAGCGTTACCTGATGAGTCAAGAGGTTCTGTACCTGATGTACCTGATCAAGAGTACCTGATGATTCTGCAACACCACCTGATGGCCAACTCGACGGCATTGCTGACCCGAAAAGGAGTCTAGCAGCTGAATGTTCAACTTCTGCCACTGCACTGTTGACTCTGCCTAGAGACAGCATCTGCACCACGGCCCACAGACGATCTTCCGTGGGACGGTGTGCTCCGCACCAGTCACCACACTGACGGCGTTCACCTGTGTGCTGCACAACTTTCTGTGAGGTCAGGAGATCGACACTGACGGCCCCGGACGGTGTGCTCTGATTGCGCCGAGTGTGCTCCCTCGTGTCCGGGCCTTGATGCCAATACCGCACGCGAGGCGGCGCAAGCCCTCACATACTGCGTCCAAGGTGCAGGTGGTGTTCGGTGACAGTGTGCAGCTTCTGCCGGCCCCGTGGACGGCACCGCGTGTGATCATGGCATGTGCATTTGATTTTCTGACATAGTGCAGTGAATTCATTTGTCATTTTGCTTCTGAACTGAATGCTGTCGCCGCTCGGTAGGGTCGATTCTGCCAGAGTAAAGAGGTCGCCACGATCGGCGCCGGTGCGGCAAGCCGGAGCAAGGCACTCGGCAATCAGCTGCCGGGAGGTGGCGGCGGCGGCGGCGGCTGACGACTCGTGCCTCGAAAATCCTGTCGTGTGCGTTGCTGGCTATTATGCGTTGTTGGTGTGCGCTGTTTTGCAAGGCCTTTGGAGCGGCATGTCGAGTTTTGAGTTTTGGACGAAGGAGCCTTGGTGTTTTGTTGGTCTATTTTCGATAAAAACGGTCATGAAGAGTGAGCTGTGTCCAGGCTGATTTTAAGATTTCTGTCACAGTATTGTCACCTTTGACCTAGGCTTGTGTCTTCTTGGGTATCGGCATATTGTGCCACCGTCCCTGCCCCGTGTCCGCGCGTGCTGCATTTTTATGTGGTCTCGCGTATGGCGTCATATACTGTCACCTCGCCATGTTTAGTGATATCCACTGTGTGGAAAAATGCATTTTGTTATAAGGGGGGGGGGGGTACACTTGTGTTCCCCAATCTAGCGCTTTAGATAATACAGCATCTGTTTTTGACATAATGAAAGCCTGTGTTTTATGTGGGTGGTAGGCTTCGCCGTTCCTCAGGTCCGTTTCTGGCATTTGAATTTCTGCTACATTTCTAGAATGCCTTTTTTCTGTTTTTCACATACAAAGCACGGTTCAAATGTGTGACCACAAATCACTGTGATTGTCCCATGCTTACCACCAACCATTCCTTCAATGCTAATGTCGTTACAGCGAAGTTATTCATTTATTGAGAACAGGGTTGTAGTTGAATAAACAAGACAGGTGAGCAAAATCTGCAGCACTCGTAGTCTTTAGGAAAAATGGAGGAACTGCAAGTACACATCACTTTTCAGTTTTATGCTTGAGTGCATTGAATTCCAATGAAGAAGAATCGCAGTTTGATTGTATTTTCATTGATATTATGTATTGTTTCAATAATAGATCTAATAAATATTATTCCAATATTACCTAGACGGTAGTTATCATCCTGCAAAACATGTCCAAATATTTAGTACCTTGAATAATGCAGTAAAATAAGCTGCGCCGCTGCATGTATCAGCAGCGCAATATCTGGTGCCAACTCAAGGTCAAGCGGGTCACGTGACAGTTGAGCGGCGGCTGGCTAGAACAGTCGCCGGCGACTTCAAAATGTTGGAAAAATTGAACTTTCTCCGCAACGCCGACAACTCTTCAATGATTGGCTGACACGACTGCTACGTCACACCCCGGCGACTGGTCAGCTGATATCGACAACTGCGGAGTTGCCGGCGACTGACCCCGGTCGCTGGCGATCGCCGGCGACTGACCCCGGTCGCTGGCGATCGCCGGCGACAGTTGCCGTCGCCGGCGACCGGAAAAGTTGCTACGTGTGAAAGGGCCATTATGATCCGAAGTTGGACGGAGCGTGCCAAATTTGCAACAAAAATACACGCCAAACGACAAGATAAATCATGGAGATCTATTGTTAAACAAGCAGCATTCAATCAGCGCAAACTGACAACTGTAGCTCTTGAGATCTCACGCCAGTGGGATCAGCCCGCAACCGTCTGGCTTAGCGTTAGATACCACTTGGTGGGAAATACATCAGCAATGCAGAGGACGCATCATTAGACTGGCTGCACTGCTAATTTTGGAATAAGAACAGCACACTCGTTACGACGCTCGTACCAGTCGTACCCATAATGGAATCCATCGGTGCCATCATGTCAATCTTACTGTCAGACATCTACCACCACACAGCTCGCTTAGTTAACTTCTTAGAAGTTCCTTACTCATTTAATCTCCGCCCCATCATATCCTTTTTCTCTCCACCAGCCTCTACAGTTTGAGCAATCATCAACATCGAGGACAGTTCGCCACCATCTCTGTCCAGTGTCCCCACCCCCAACCAGTCCTCATATTTTCTATCACCGCTATCACCACAGTCTTCCGCATCTCCTTCAGCTCGAGAAGATCTTTGTCACCTTCATCGTCACTCTCGTTTGCCCTCATATCCCAGTCCTCGTCGTTTAATCACTGTTTTCGGCACCGTCTTCTCAATCGTCTCCCCTACCAACCTCGGCAACTGCCCACAGCCTGAGAAGATGGTCGGCACCGCCTACAGCTTCAGCAAGTCCCTGACGAAGGCGAGCCTCTCCTGCAGCTGAGGTCGATCCCTCAGTAGCTGCAGCACCAGCAGTCGCACACTGTTATGTTTCTCGTCGACTCCTTCCAGCTCCAGCTGCAGTTTGGTGCGGGACCTCAGGTGCGGGCTGTAGGTGCCGTCCAGTACGCTCTGGTAGTATCGCGAGCTCTGCTGCTTCAGAACGATACGGCCTAGGTTCTGTCCGCGGAGCGCGGCGCGGTGTTGGAGGCCCTCCCGCAGCCTCTCCAGCAGCTGCTGCAGTCCACTGACGGCCGCCCGCCGGCCCGGTACCGCCTCAGAGGTCAAGTTCTCCAGGTGCCGCTCCGCTCGCTGGATCTCACCGGCCAGGTGGGAAGCGTCCCGTCTGGCGTGCTTGAACCTCCGTCTGAGATCCTCCAGCTTCTTCTGTCGCTGGAAGAAGTTGACGGCCTTCTGGCGCCCGCGTCGATCGGCGTTCTCTGCCCGCAGCGCGATGGTGCCGCGCCGGTCGACGGCCCGCTCCATCTCTGTCATCAGACGCTCCTGGTCCCGCAGCAGCTGGCCGTACCGCACCTGCATCCTGTGAATCTCCAGCCTCATGGCTTGCACCTCGGCCGCACAGCCCGTTTCGCCTCTCAGCTTCTCTTTGGCCTGTTTGAGCAGGGCGATCTTCTGCTCCCAGAGCAGCTCTGTGCCACCGGCGTCCGCCATCCGGGCTATCAGCGTGGCGCGGCGCTGCTCCTTCTCCGAGATCTGACCGCGCACCTGGACACACTCCGTCTCCGTCTCCCGGAGCTGGTGGCAGAGCTCGTACTCCATGACGGACGTATTGGCCGCCAGCTGGTGGTGAAGGCGCGTCTCACCTGCCAGCCGCACGTTCAGATGACACACTGCCTGGCGCAGCTGCTTTACATTGAGATCCACAGCGTGTAGCGAGCTGCTCTCCGTCTCAATGGAGCGTTCCACGCGCAACTTACGCTGCTCCATGATCAGTAGCTCTTTTTTTCTAGTGTGCACCACGTGTTGTAGCTGGTCGCGCTCCTGCGTTGAGAACACGAGGTCATTCTGTAGACGGATGTAGTACTGCTGAACGCCGTCCACCTGCTGCTGCAGCTGGTCAATTCCCTTGTGCAGCGAGGCGATCATGATCTCTAAAGGACCCAGCTCCTGGCCCCCAGCCGCCGCGATCAGCTGTCCCAGCCGTGCGTTGAGCTCCTGCACTTTGTTCTGCTTGTGCTGGATCACGGCGTTGCCGCGGTGGACCTCCTGCTGGTACCGGTTGAGGTTCTCCTCGGCCAGCCGGACCTCTGCCAGCAGCTGCTCCAGCACCGTGTTCATGTAGCTGACCGCCGTGGAGGCGTTGGAGACGGACAGCAGCAGGCGGGCGATGTTGTTCTCCACGTCAGCGACCTGACCCTCCATATATTTGGTGACCTCCCTGGTCTTGTGCACGATTTTGGCCGTGTACTTCCCGGCACTGTCTGCCGTCAGCCGCTCCTGCATCGTCTCCAGGATTTTGTCCTCCACCTGCCGCTTCAGGTCCGTCACCCGCTCCATGTCGGCTTGCAGGTGCTTCATACGACGCTCCACATGCCGCTGATCCGTCTGACACTGGTAGAGCTTGTCTTCTGTGTCTCCCAGGATGTGACGGAACTTGGCGTACTCGGTCTTGTGTTCGTCAAACTTGGACATAGTATGGTCGTACGCACGTTTGAATTTGTCCCTCTCGGCCTGGAGTCGTTTGCGCTGCATCATGAGCTGTTCGTTGTCCTCCTGCGCCTGCGCGATGGAGCGCATGTATCCCGATATCTCTCCGTCGATGGTGTGCAGGTCGGCAGACAGCTTACTGGCGTCGCTCTGTAGCTGCGAGTACTCCTCGTCCCGTTTCTGCATCCGGTTCAGACTGTTGGTCCACGTCATCGTCAGGTGACGACGCTCCATCACGAGCGTCTCGAGTTCAAGCTGCGCCTCTGCCAGCACCTGTCTGGCCAGGTTGGCCTCCTCAGTCTGAGCGCCCGTCTGCACCTGGTTCAGACGGATGGCCGTGCGCAGACGGTCGGCATCCGATGACAGACGAGCAATCAGGTAATCCTGTCTCTGCTTGTCCTGCTCCAACTGAGACATCTCTGCCTCGGCCCTCTCGGCCATTTTCTGTCGAAGCTGCAGCTCCGTGTCGGCGTCCGCCTCCAGTGATTTCAGGTGGTATTCGTTCTTCTCCAGAGCAGACACATCGGCACGCAGCTCCCGCTCCCTCTCCCTATCGGCCTCCAGACGATTCCCAATCTCGCCATGTCTCTGTCGGACGGCGGTGAGCGTCTGTTCAGCAGCTGCCCGCGCCTCGGCGGCCTCCGAGAGCCGCTGCTGCAGCTGCAGCTGCTGCTCCTGCTGTCTGGCCAGCTGCAGTTGCCGCTCGTACAGCTGCACGCCGCACGACTCGCGGTGTTTCGTGCGGGAGCGCTGCTCCTTCCGCAGCTCCACCAGGTCTAGGTCCAGCTTCCCGATCTGCTTCCTCAGCAGAGCGGCCAGCGCCCTCTGGAATCTCTCCATCAGCGGGTGGTCGGGCGGAAGGAGCGGCTTCTCGGGCCGTCCGCTGCCGCGTCCCGCTCCGCCGGCTGACAAGGAGCGCCGAGAGTCACCGCCGGTCGACTCGGCTCCGGCCGGCTCGGTGGCCGGCTGGCTGTCCCGGTCACTGGTGGGGGCCGCGGGGATGGACCCGTCGTTTTCCCCGTCCCCGGCTGGGGCGGCGTCCCCGCCGGGAGACATGGCTCGGTATCGAGGGTAGGGTACACTGCGCGGCGTCATATCGTCATAGCTGAATTGGCCCGACAGCTCACTGCCATCGTCGGTGACAGTGCCCTCGGGCGGCTCGTACAGCGGGTAGGGAGACACCGATCTCCGTCCCGGCGGAGCGGCTGCCGCCACCACCGGCGGTCCGGTCGGCTGAGCGGTGGTCCCGAGACCATCGAACGGTAGTGCGGGAAGGTCATCACCGTCCCGGTCCTCGCTGAGCGCGGCCAGCCGCTCCTCCCAGTAGAGCCGGTCTCCGGAGCCGGGACCCTGTGACGGCTCCAACTGGAGCTCGCTCGGTGGGGGCGCCGCCGGCCGCAGCGCCTCGCTGGGCGTCGGACGCAGAGAGGTGGACGGTGTGGCTACCAGACCGTCTGGATTCAGAGGTCCGAACTCCCCGTCAGCGCCAGACATCTCCTCCGCTGCCTCCGCCTGTGGACTGGCCTCTGTCCCCTCTGACATCACTGCCTCCCCAGTCCCTGTTTCACCTGACGGTGGGACGGAATCATCGGGTCCTCCTTCAGCAGTGCTGGGATCAGTGTCTCCTCCAACTGTCCCTTGTCCAGTTCCTGTCCCATTTCCTGGAACATCAGCCGGAGCGTCGCTGGGCATCAGAGCTGCATCAGGTGCTGACAAGGCCTCTGTATGTGAGCTGGAGATAGCACCATCATCAGGTGGTTGGTCAGAGTGGGGAGAAGGGGGGTCTCCTTCTGTGGCAGGTGCAGCAGCTTCTGCTGGAGGAGGGTCGTCACTCGGTGGTGGCAGGTCCGCATCATCAGGTGGCCTACTATCCTCCTCTTGGACAGGTTCATGGTCTGACATCTTCACAGCTGAGCGTGGCTGTTGTAGCTCCTTCTTAAGATGTCATGATCTTACCCATATTGTATCTCAAGCTCGATTTTGTGGGTACTTTTTAAAACACGAGTCCTATTGCCCGACTATTGCCCATCAACTATGACACGCACTCACAAATTCATTCAATATCTCACAACTTCACTTTATATGGTGTTCATATTGCAATAGGCAATCATATTGCAAGCATAGGCAATCATATTGCAAGCATAGGCAATATGGCTCGGTTTTCATCAAAGTTCATTCACTGTCTCGGCCTAAAAACATACGTCGGGCAATGAAACGCATGATGATCGGTCGCAGGCACTTCGGCGCGGCGGGTTATCTTTTCGAAATAAATCGCCACGACGTGACACGACGGGTGCGGTTCAATCCCAACATCTCAGCAACCGGTGCCGTGTTCAACACGCCGCAACAGTGCGCTACACCACTAACGCCACCACTACACCACGGCAAACGCCGCACCAATATGTTATTGGTGCGGCGTTTGCGACGAATTCGCCGCGACGCTTCAGCGTTGCCAGCGTCCGAGTTTATTGATGTTTCCATGGAAACCCAATACACCGCTACGCGTGGCGCGCTGCAGCGCGGTGCCGTGAAACCAAGCGTGAAACACCACCCGGGCAATCGATCGGGACGGGACCAACACCAATGTGTCGATATTTTAACGGGCTATGAAAGAATACTCGTTCGCGACGCGAAGCAATGTTATGTTACCAAGCGAGAGGTAGTTTGTTTGTTTGTTTGTTTTGTTGGGTTAGGCCCTTTCGGTCGACAAGACCATTGCAGAGCCGGAAGGATGATAGGATTTAGGGGGAGACATTGGTCTGGGCAGGCACCCTAGTGAGTCGCCGGGGCTGAGCCCGTCCAGAGGACAGGCCACCCAGCCCCAAGGCACTCACTGCACCCGGCTACGGGGTGCGCTCCCTCGGGAGCAGCGGTGCCGCTCCAAGGGAGCAGCCCGCATGAGATAAAGTTGCCTGTCCAGCCCGGAAGGGGGTTGTGGCGTGGAGGAGAAGGATTTCAGTATCCTGAGGATAGAAGCACGGATAGGTGAGAGAGGTAGTGGTGGTGGTAGTGGTAGGGGTACGGATAGTAGCAGTCGCAGGGTAGGAGCATGGGCGTCGCGGTGATGACGTCACTCGTGGCAGCTGGCACCTAGTGTCCGTATGATGGCACAAAGAGTCGACGAATTTAAGAGAAAAACTTCGTTTTTCACTGTTGCCGAGGTCAAAATCGAGTAAGCAGTTCTGTCCATGGTATTCATACATTACATTGCAATGCAAGTTCCAATCTATAGCATGGCATCACCAGTGTTCTAATACCTATCTAGCTCCAAAACGCACGTATGTAATTTATCGGGAATAATTCACTTGATAAAATTAGGCGACGTTCGATTTTCTCAGGTCAAGTTTGCCCTTTTCGCTGGCTAAAACACATGCTACGTCGAAAAGCATAGTTGGAGCCCATCCTGTTTCGAAAAAAGTAAACTATAGGAGGTTTTGTCCCTTGGAAGCTAAAACGTTAAATTACAGTTCAATTTGAAAACATAGCAAAGAATGCACTGTCGAATGCACTTCTCCGTGGCGCTGCAGCTCGATTAGTTCCCGACTATGCCCCTATTAGTCAAAAACTGTTCAAGCGAACTTTTGTCTCGAAATTTTGATATCGGTGACCTAAGGTCAGGTCAATTTTGCGACCTCCCCATTATAAGTCAATGGGAGAAAATTGAAAGTCGCCTCTTTTTGACGGAATCATTAAAACACTCTAAAACACTGAATTACTGTTATATTTGACACACTGAACATGGAAATGGCACCCGTGACCCCTTTTTGTGCCCCTGAGGTCATCTCAGGTCACCAATGGTATCTGACAGTTTTTCGCGAATAACTTTTGATAGAGGCATGCTAGAGCGAGAAAACACCTTATTTGTGTTTGGCTCGACGATACGGATCGACTGATCTGCAACTTGACCCTTACCGGTCAGGTCATGACCTTGACCTGAGGTTAAATTTTCAAGTTGGCCTTTCAAGGCCAAATGATAGTTCATTCGAGGCGTCTTGACGAGAGAAACACGATGCCGGTAAATGATAGTTCGTGCAAGGTTTGAGTCAAAAGTTATTGCAGAAAAACTTTTTCCGAAAAAAAGTTATTTTGGCATTTGTTGCCCCCTGCAGGTAAAACCGTTGACGGCAGGTCAAATCTGAGAGAATTATTCAAAAAGAGCGTTATCAGGGCTATCAAATGCGCTTTTCCGTGGCGCTGTAGCTTTATTAGTTTCTTAGCTGTGCGTCAATTAGTTGAAAACTGTCGAAATCTGACCTAAAAATAGGCGAATTTTGGCCTTCAATGACATTTGGTGACCTGACAAAGAAGTGACCGAGGTGATTTCTTCCTTGTTTAGGTGCTCTTTCGAACGCCGCCTTCCCCGTATCGCTACGTGGTCCAGGAGCCGAGTTAGAAGGGGGGTTTCAACCCCCCCCCCCCCAGCAGGGCGTGGAAACCCAGGACCCCAGCGGGGCGCAGGTTAACGGCACTTTTGTATAAAAAATACTCGGCACGTTTCCGTTCATACCTCTGCTTCCAGACGACACATCAATACGAGTCAATCACCATTCGAAAGCAAGTTAGCTGATGCCGTCTTTTAAGACCACATCGTGAAGCAAGTGGCGCAGTCGCTTGTTATCCCTCGCGGGCCGGGGGGGGGGCGTTTTTCGCCCCCCCCCCTGGCGAATATTTGCGATAGCTCCCGAACGCTAAGGGATAGGAAAGCGAAACTTTCAGTACCTTTTCTCCCATCAATTTGACATCTTCTGAAGTAAAAAAATTGGACCTAGCCCCCTTGATGACGTCACAAGGTCCATTTTTCTAGACCCCTGCACGGCAAACTTCGGCGTCACAGACGCAAACTTCAAATAGCTGCTAAAAATAGTTTTAGAGATAAATACAAATTACGAGCACGGTTGTGTAGCGTTTGACCTAGAGAAAAATAGAAAAATAGTTTTGGTGACCTGAGGTCAGAGGTCAGGTCAACGACCTCGAAATGTGATTTTAGTTTTTCGTAAATAACTTCGACAAAAATGGTCCTAGAGCTACGGCAGTGGTACCATCGCATTCGCCTTGTCAAGCCGCGTCGAATGATATATATTTTGTTTGGAAAAGGTCAAGTTTTATGTTGACCTCATGTGACCTCGAATGACCTCTGGTTGACCTTGACACATGGAAGGTCGTTTCATGATGGATTTGTACCCGCTGATCACGAATCTGGCATCTATTTTCCTCTAAGCCTTCATTTAGAGCTTCCGGATGGCAAAATTGTCTTATTTATTATTACTAACTTGAATTAGTGAAATAGCCTCTAGCAGGGATACTGTTCAGTGACCTTGACCTTTGAGCAGCCTTGTATCGTAAGAGGAACCACAAATAGGGAACTGATAAGCCTCAAAACATTTCAAAACATCTTGAAAGTTAGCACGCAAGATGTGCGAAAAAGTGCCAAGTTTGAGGTCAATTTTGAGCGTGACCTTGACCTTGACCTTTGATTTTGAGCACATTTTCGGAATCCTCAGATTCTCTTCTTTCGTTTGACACCCAATTTTGCCGGTTTGATGCCGCCTGCCGTCCTATAGAAGGCTTACTTTGAGATCACTACACATGTGCCGGTTTTTGCCTTTGACCTTGACCTCTAACCTTGAAAATTGACCTGAGGTCAAAAATTTTAGGTCCTTTAGAATCGTCTGGCAAGGAACTTTCGTTTGGTATCGCTTTTGTTTCCGTAGCTCCCTTATTTATGGAGTTAGACAGGGAGGCGAAAAACGCCCCCCCGGGCTGCGGTGGTTGGGATTACCCCCCGGGCCCGGCCGGGTTATACGTACCTCTAGGACCAGCGGCGGAGACGGCTGGGATGGGGACTGGTCCTGCACCGTATGCTGAGCCGACTGTTGGATGTCAATGACCTCTCCAGGCCCTGGACCGTGGCTCTGGCGCTCCATGTGGGCCTGCAACTGAGCACGGCGTGCGAACGCACTGCCGCACTCCTGAGGGACGGATCAGGGGGGGGGGGGGGAGAGAAGTCAGCCAGCTTCGGGTCGGGTTGGGTTAGGGTACGGTAGACTTGCTGGAATTTACAGATTAACACATTATCTAGTATCGTGTGCGTTTGATACCCGGATATTCAGATAAAGGAAAGGCGAAGATAAGCATTCAAACAAAACGCATCAATGATCAAACTCTTTATGATAGGCTGGAGCATGCTGGGGTTTTACGGCGACCGGAGTGTACCTAGTGATCACGGCGCTCAGCTATCAATCTTCGAATACCACTTATCTCGAACACTCCCCTCTCCTAGGCGCTCCGCACGCTCCACATTAACTCACCGAGCACTGGAACTGGCGTTTGGCCGAGTGTGCTGACAGAACGTGCGCCTTCCATCGCTGCGCGGAGTTAAAGCTCTTCGCACACATGCCGCAGTGATGTGAGCGCTCCTTGGACGTCTGATGCGCCCTCTGATGTATCCGCAGCTGCTGAGTCGAGACGAACGACGCCGGGCAGATGGAGCACCGCGCGGGCCGCTCGCCTGCGGCAGGGAAGAGTGTGTGTGTGTGGGGGGGGGGGGGTCAGGTGACAGGTGTGTGGTTGGTCAGATGACACCGCTCGCCCGGGCAGGGAGAATTGACTCGTGGCCCGTAAGGTGATAAGTGTGTGTTTATCCCACCCCTAGCCAGGACAGAGAGGAGTGAGTCGTCAGGTGACTGGTTTATGTTTGTCCCTCCCCTCTACTTGGCACGGATAAGTCAAAGTGAATGTCAGGTGATTGGTGTGTCCGATGTTGCTGGGAAGATGATGGTTTGTTGACTTGAAAAGTTGATGATCAATACGAATAATGAGGTATGAATGAGGCTATCATGAATTTATAAAATGGTAACATCGTGCAGTACTTCCAGTACGAAGCAGTACGAAATATAGCCTGAAATACCGGTATAAACAGTCGGACAAGGACATCCCGCTTGTAACCTAAAAAGGATCATTAAACAGCTGTTCATAGCCGAACACGTACGACACAAAACACACCAAGACTTTTTCTTTTGAATTTCCCAGTCAGCTCCACACAAATGACGACCATTATGACGACCGCCTAATAGCTACAGACCTGAGTGAGCGGCCCTTTGATGGTGAGTGAGCAGCAGTTTCCGAGTGAAGGCCTTGTCACAGATGTCACAGACAAACGGCTTCTCGTGCAGGTGGACGACACTCCGGTGGGCTGTCAGGTTAGATCGCTGGGCGAACCTGGCGAGAAACAGCGAGAGTCACATTGGCCGGTCACGGGACACATTGAATGGGTTAACCTTCCAGGCGGTGGGGGGGGGGCAATTTTTTGCCCCCCCCCCCTTTAGTTTTTTTGATATATCTCGAGAACCGCTGCGCCGATCGTCACCAAACTTTCAATACCCTCCCGGGAGCAGCTAGCGCACATGGTGACCAAAAATTTTTCCAAAGGCTATGATAGGTTGGCCGCTAATGACGTCAGAGTGACGTCATTTTTGCCATTTTCGACCCAAAAACAGGTTTCGCGGGAAGAGCTGTCAGGCCTACAGCTTTAGAGATACAGAAATATGTTTCAGACATAAAAGGTGTGGAATAAAAAGGGCTACAAAACTGCTATTTCGGTTTTTCGAATTTTTTGGATTTTGACCCCCAAAAATCAAAAAATAGATTTTTTGAATATAATAGCCAAAAAATCCAAAAAGTTTTTTGAATTTCGAAAAAAACCGGAATATATGTGATAGCCCCTACCGCCTTCTATCTACATACCAAATTTGAGATCGATATCTCTTTTTTTGGCCAAGTTATAGCGAAAAAACTGTTCAAAATTGATGACGTCAAATTTTCAAACTCAATTTTTAGCAATTCTAGACCTCGTAGCGCAAAACAAAGACCACCATTAGACTCCCCGTGACGAGCTGCATCGAATCGATACCCATTTTATGCAAAAATATCAACTTTGAAATTTGACCTTTTTTGACCTGACCTTGACCTGACCTCCAGAAAGTGACCTAAACCGTACCTGATGGTCTTATAACCAACACCATTGAGTTGGCAATGAAAAACTGGCCATAAAACATGCATCGCATAACCTTAGTAAAGTTGGGCTCATGTGGTGACCCTTGGTGACCTTTGGTGACCTGACCTGTGACCTGACCTGGTATGACCAGTGACCTCTAATAGCAACATAGGTACTAGACAACTGACGCCTTATCGCTGATTTTCGACAAAATGCGTTTTACTCGGTGTTATAGCGCTTTCCCTAGAAGCCCCGTGAACGGTGAAACATTTTATCTTTGACCTGACCTGTGACGTCATCGGTGACCCCGAGGTCAATGAAATTTGGTTTCCCTCGGCAAATTTGGCAGGGCTATCGAACGCCGTTTGAATTTTCCGGATCCGTCCAGTAGTTTCGGAGATACGGGGGGGGGGGGGGCAAAAAAGTGCCCCCCCCCCCCACCGCGCGGAAGGTGGCTGGTAGGCCCACCGCCTGCCGGGTTAAGGGGGCACACTCACTGGTCACGGAAACAGTGACATATTGCCAGGTCATGGGGACAGTCTGACACATTGTCAGGTCGCGGGAACAGTCTGACACGCTGACCAGTAACAGGACATTGACAAATTAACAGGTATCGGATCGACAGTGGCACATATTTAACCGGTCACAGGACAGTGACGCATTGACCGGGCCACGGGACAGTCACATATTGACCGTTCATGAAGACACGGCGACACAGCTAGCTAAATGGATGAATGAATGAATGAATGAATGAAATAATGAATGAATGAATGAATGAATGAATGATGAATGAATGAATGCATGAGTGAATGAATGAATGCATGAGTGAATGAATGAATGCATGAGTGAATGAATGAATGAATGAATGAATGAATGAATGAATGAATGAATGAATGAGTGAATGAATGAATGAATGCACGCATGAATGGATGGATGAATGAACGAATGAAGGACATGATTTACACAAGTCTTACTCTTGTGTAAGACTTGTGAAACTATATGACATATGCCAATAAGACCCTGGAAAGTATATACATACAAACGAGGAATTTCTTACAACTAGCTGCTCTTAGTGAGGCCGTACTAACCCGACGCCGCAGTACTCGCAGATGAATGGTTTCTCCCCGGTGTGCGTTCGAATGTGATGAGTCAGCAGCACTTTCTTGGTGAACTCCTTCCCACAGACATCACAGCTATGCCTCTTCAAACAAGTTTCCTACAACACAGCAGAAAGTATGGCGTCATCGATACACACAAAGGTAGCCAGTGTCACATAAGTGTAGCACGTTAAATAGCTCACAGCTCATAGCTCGATAGAAGCCCGATTATTCAGTATTTACACAAACTTCCATAGTCATTATGCTAGCAGACACCACAGAGATCGAAACACACATTCCTTATTGCTCCGTCCTATACCCACCTATTCGCTTAGTCCCTTCCCACACTCACGATGCATCCCCGCTTTCTTGACGCCGCGTTTCCCGTTCTACTCACGGCATGTTTCCTCAGGCGGTTCTCGGTGGTAAATTTGCGTTCACAGTGTTCACAGCGCAGTCCCGTGCGTCGATGGCTCTTGCTGTGTACGGCCAGGTGCAGCTCCGAGAGGAATGACATGCCACACTGGGGGCACTGGTAGGGCCTCGGTCGGTGGCCGTGCGTTCGCAGGTGCTTCCTCCACACAGGCTGACTGGTGAAACTCTTATTGCACCTGGGGAAAGGGGAGACGATTGGAACAGCTTTATATGCATACACCTGTGACCTGGGTAAGACGTGCACGCTTTTATTAGTGATAGAAGGCTGGAATGTACTGCCTCTAGACATGCTGGGTGTCGTGGTAAACGTCTAGACAGCGCATATCAAATAGTGCCTGGTTGCAAATCCGATTGCACGGTTTGCTCTAGCTACGTTGACCGTATAATGTATGCAATGTCCCAAGTAAAATACGAGCGAGCCGGCGTAGCAACCAAAACTAAAACCTCGGTAGCCATCTAGCGGCAATAGCTCTCTATAATGGTATGCAGTTCATCCTCACATTTTCGATTGATCATCCCTCGCCCTGTCACGACCGAACACCGCCCGCCGTCCACCCACCTGTTGCAGACGTAGGGCCGTGCGCCAGTGTGCACATCCTGATGCCGTTCCAGATCCGCTCTCCGGCGGAAGGTCCTCTTGCAGTGGCCGCACGGCAGTCGGCGGTCGTGCGCCTCATTCTGGTGCCGCCTCAGGAACCGTGGTGTGGGGAACGTCTCACCACATTGCCCGCAGCCATACGGCCGTAGCGGGGAGTCGGTGTGGCGCTCTATCTCGTGCGCCTCCAGGGCGTTTCGTGACATCATGGCTACCGGGCACAGCGGGCAGAAGTATACCATCTTGGCCAGGTGCTGGCGCATGTGCTCCCGACAGGCGACACGGGTCTCCAGGACGAGGTCGCACACGCCACACTGCGAGGTCTCCTCCTCGCGGATGTAAGTGGGGGGAGGGTCGGCCGGTGGTGGCGGCGGCGGCTCGGGTGTCGAAGGGGAGGCCACAGGACTGGCATCGTCACGCGCCTCTGGATCAAGGGAACCAACAGAAGCGGCATCCTCATCAGATTCCGCCTGAACCTCGCTCCCATCGTCGTCGTCCCGGCGGATCTCGATGTTTATGAGAACGGATTTATCGGAAACAGAGGAGCAGCCTGCGAGCCGCTCGGAGTGAGGTGACCGCGCCGCGGAGATGTAGTTCTGGCTCTCTGGGGGAGTTCCCGGCGGTGACGATCGGATCCAGGCAGGACGGCCGCGCCGCCGCTTCACCACCGAGGCAGGTGGCGCCAAACGAGCCTCGCCACTGTCCAACCGAGCCAGAAACCGCGCCTCTAGCGTGTAGGCCTGCCTCCGGAGAGTGTCTACCTTCACTGCTAGGGAGAAGCACCGACGACAGAGGATATCTCCTGCGGGCAGGGGCCGATGTAGCGGCTGCAGTATAGCTAACAACACTGCCCTCACTGTCTGCGTGTTACAGTGATAGAGCCGATCGTCAATGGGCTCAAAAATATCTTTGTCATGATCTTCAGTCTCATTGATTTCAGCTGATTCATTATCAACACTCAGAGGTAAAGCTACATCATTCACCTTACTGCGAAGCTTAACTGAAGTTGGTGCGGTAACGCTTTCCAAGCAGATGATACAGTACTTTGAGTTGCCTTCAGTACGCACGTCAGCATCTTCTATCTCCGTAAATGCTTCCATGTTCAGCGTTTACCTTGCAGCTTACCACATCTGGAAAGGAGAATAAATAGGTAAGGATTCATCCTAGGGAGTGAATGGGGGGGGGGGGGGGCGGGGGAGATTCAAAAGCACCTCGTATTAGTCAATGGCGAAGTAAACGGCATAGGAGCAGCTAGTTTCATATAACTTCAGCTGGATACAGCGACGCCTTTGGTAGTTTTCAACCAAAGTTTTCCCGTGAGTGCGAGGCATACGTGGTAGGTAAATGCACACAAGTTAAAAGCAAGTCAACTCCTGAGGTGGCGAGCTCTCAGGAGTTCAGATTTTCGCATCGGCGCTAAGACCAGAATAGAGCCCACGACGATCAGTTACGGGGTGCGGTAGGACCTGCCAGTGAACGCATTTACCCTATATAAATTTTGGAGACGCATCGACCAGCCCTCTCCCGGGCCCTTCCCTGTAACCACCCCTCATTCACCTCCGTCAAGACGTGGAAAGGCAGCCTGCTGCAGACGCGTTAGACAATATCTTTCTCAGCCCACTCGTAAGATTGTCACGGCCCATGAGTGCCAGATGTGTACTGTGTATTGTGGAAGATCTGTCCTAACATGCAATCTCCTTACTAGTGCGCACTATTTCTCGATTTGAATGCAAGTGACTGCGAATTAGTTTGTGCCAATGAATGAAATGGTTGCAGGATATCTGAATAGCTGAACACAACGGACATCGAGAGCCGGATGACAGAGTTGCTGTGGAGAGCCCTTTTGCAGGTCATCGCGGATGCTCGCCACGAAAAACACAACCAACAAATCTTCAAAAGTATTATTGAATGCATAATACCAGAAATTCTTCATACATAGAATGAAGTACACAATCACGTTTCATGACACCTTTTCTGGACTTAACCAAAGGGCAAATAGCAAATGAGGCACCGGCATCCCGAACCCGATGACTAACACGAAGTCGGCAATCAAAGCATGTACATCAGCCTCATCTTTGTCACTGGCAGCGATAAGGGGCAATGATCCGAATCATCATCCTATGTTGAACATGGGTAGCGGAGATAACTACGCTTTGTCGGACACAGCCGCCTGAGCCGCCTTTTTCGCTTTGATCAGCTCTACAAGCTCCTTGTAGCGCCGCATACAGTCCTTCCTAGTGCGGTTGGGCAGACACTCCGCTATGCGATCCCAACGGTCCTTGGTCTGAGGACCGTACGTCTTGAGCGCCTGCTCCAGCCGTTTCTGCTCCTCTGGAGTCCAGGGCGCCTGATTGCTACCCTGCTGATCCAGCGGAGTCTCGGTACGCTCGGAGATTCCAGTGTCGTCGATCTTGCTCGCAGCCTTCGTGCTCTTTTCGAAGTTTTCATACGCGTTTTGGTTGGCAGACTGCTTGAGCTTCTGGTCTGACTTCTGCAAGTCTTTAGCATGAGCCAGTACCTCCTTGGCAGTCCTTTTAGAGCCGGATACGTGCTGGTTGATGAAGCTGGCGATTACCTCCCACCGCTGATTCGTTCCGGCCGGAAACAGTTTGACAGCCTTTATCAGCATCTGAAGCTCATCGTGCGACCAGGCCTTTGTTTTGGCTTTGCCGCCATTGGCAGTCGTCTTGGCGGCCACCGTGTCGCCAGAGATTCTCTCTTGTTCCACCTGTTTCTTGACGTGGTCGACCTCTTCCAGGAAGCGCTCACGACCGCCAGTTGGTTGGGAGAGCTGTTCGTTAAGCTGATCCAGTCTGAGTGCGTCCAAAACGGTACACATGCGCTCCAGTTCCATCATGTGGTCAGCACGCTCGGCATCGGACTCGGCGAAGTAGTCCTTCTCAGCACACAACTGGCGAAGTGTTTGCCGGCCGCGAGCGAGTGCCTGTCGCGCCGCTTCCTTCTGACGGCGCGCCGTTTCCTGCTCCTCACGTCGCGCTGCTTCCTCCGCCTCCCGGCGACGCTGCGCCTCCTCCTCAGCCAGTTTCAGTGCCCTTTCCTCTTCCTCGAGGCGGCGCTGCCGCTCCTCCTGCTTACGCTGTTTCTGAGCGGCCTTCTTGTCACGGTCCTCCTCCTTGAACCTCTGAATCCGTGGGTCAGCTGCATAGGCATTGTCGACCAGTTGCCGCAAACGGGCCGTCTCAGCTTTCTTCCTATCCTTCCGGGCCGCCTTGTTCTGCCGTTCAATGAAGCGGCGCTCATCACGGTTTTCACCTTTCTCCTTCTCTTCCTCATCCAGGTAACTGAACTCACGCCAGGAGTCAAAGTCATACCAGAAGCTGTAGAAATGTTCAACATCATCTCGTGAGGATTTGGCATTCCCAAGCTCTGGTACTGGACGTCGAGTTGACCAGCGTGCATTTCGCTCAAACACTGGACGGTACACCTTGAAAAACTTCTCTTTACTGACTTTACCATCAGGGATTTCCTCATCAAAAAGTGGATCCACCGAGTCATAGCTGATTCTCTTTGCTGGAACTCCCAGAGTTTCATAGGCACGAGTGATGCAAGTGAAGTAATCATCTTCATCTCTGATCTCTTCCCCTGCACCCCTACGCTTGTCTGGGTGATGCCTCAACACCTTCTGACGGTACGCTTTTTTGATGTCATCCTCAGTGGCCTTGTACCGCAGCTTTGAAAGACCAAGAACCTTGTAGTGATCTTGTTTCTTCCACTCCTTAGGGCAGAGGGTGCGAAGAAAGGTAATATCATCCTCGATAACCACCTCAACTGCTGAATCCTCTTCTTGCTCCTCTGAATCAGCTTCGATCCCAAGACTGTGAGAATTCACACGTGCCAAACAAAACTTCTTGTACTGCGCGCCGACGGGCTCTACATCGAGAAGGTCGTACGCTGTCAAACTCGAAAATACTTCTACTGTTCCAAAACTTTGCATGGTCACAGCAGCCATTATGATGGACCCGTATGTTCAGCAATTAATTAAAAACACAAAAACGGCCACCTGACCTCCCACAACTCTCAAACGCGTCCACACACGCGCATCTCTCACACACTATTCTGCATCAAGGATATACGAAATGTATGCTTGCAGAAATTGGCCATCTGAGATCGAGTTGCTTTTTTGATAAATGACGTCATAGAAAACAGAAAGAAACAATCATTTAGCCATTTTCCTGATATTTTTGCCATATTATGGCTTCAACTGGTAAGAATAAATAAGAATGAAATGTTTTATCCATTTCAAAATGATACTGCACTCGATTTTTTAGAATTTTTCTTTTGATTTTTTCTTGTGACGTCATTGATATTCTTAAAGTCAAATAAATCACTATTACAAGATATTTATTTCTACAACAAATGGCGCATTTACGACAGTTTTTCGGCTGCTTCGCTCATTTCTCTAATCTCAATCTCACAAATCACAAATTTCTTGGAGCCTCTGTTTGGTACTTAGTTTTCTGTTTCGAAGTTTTTCCGTGCGCGTTGGTTGAAGTTGGCGTCTGCACTTCGCCATCTTGTCTACTTCATCAGGTCGTATTGTCCATTCTTTTCGCTTTCTTCTTTACTATTCTAGAGACTTTTCATAATCAAGGTTCTTTGTTCTCTATCTGACCATGCCGCCTGCCTTCTCCAAGGCGGTCACTGCCACGCTGGAAGGAAAGTTTGTCCCAGGCGGCCCAGCCTACGTTCTTGCTAGATTCAAAAACAAAGACAAAAGCTTTCGAAACTTTAGCCCATACAAAATCCGGGATGAACTTCTGAAGGTTCTGTATTACCCAGCAGCCAAAGTCTCTGCCCTGCGAAGTGGAACTCTTCTAGTTCAAACACAGGATGCGAAACAGACTGATGCGCTTCTGGCATGGACCTCGTTCGGAGAGGATGAAATATCTGTGATTCTTGCTGATCGACTTAATCAGGTTGAGGGCATTGTGTATGCCCCAGAGCTCATGACAGAATCGCCTCAAACTATCCTCCATGAAAGCCGCGACCAGGGAGTAGTGAGCATCACTCGACTTCCTTCCAAAAACAACAAACCCAACCCGCTTCTCAAAGTCAGGTTCTCTGCAACGCAACTTCCAGCTCACTTCTATGCTGTATATGTGCGGTACGAGGTGAGGCCCTCATACCAACTCCCTCGACGATGCATCAGGTGTCAGAGATATGGACATGGCAGGGGCACGTGCAGGGCTCGCACGGAAAGATGCGCAAGGTGTGCTGGAGACCATCCAACCCTTGGCTGTGATGCCCCACCATGCTGTGCGGCATGTGGAGGCCCCCACCCAGTCACCAGCAGGGAGTGCCCTGTCTGGAAGGAAAAGGCCAACGAGCTTAGAGGAGTAGCCCCACAGCTGTCCAACCAAACCCGGACCCAAGCAAGGGTGATACCTCAGGCCAGTCCCTTCAACCAGGAGCGCGATTGGCCAGAGCTGGCTACCCCAACAGCTGGCCCTTCTGGTGACAGGTCCCGGCGAGCTGCTCCCAAGCCCCGACCTGCGTCCTACAGCTCTCTCTCACAGGCTCCTGCAACCAAACCGACAAAGGGGCCCCAGCTCGTGCATGAAAGCACCGAGGGTCGCCCCCCGGCCCAAACATCAGAACTGAACGGAGAGATCGAGCAGGACAGAACCCCCTTGCTCACTGACCCCTCCCCAGTAACTCCGATACTGCGGTCCAGGGCCCTCGACTCTGATGACTCAACAGGTCGTGAGCAAACAGAGAATCTCACCGATGAGGAGGAGACGCCAAACAGTCGCTCTCTTTTCTCCCTGCAGCGATCGCCAGCCATGTATAGCGATAGTGACTCTGACTCGTCTCTGACGCAATTCACCCAGAAGACACCGAGCACTCGCCTCCGATCACGCACAGTCAAAAAGAAGAACATGGGCGTACGATCGCAGCCTGTGACCAAACGGTCTTTCATTCCTGAATAGGTCATCACAGCCCCTTGCTGTAAGCAGTGTTCATGCATTTTCTTCAATGGAATGTAGGAGGTCTTCTCTCACATCTATCAGAATTTAAGCAGCATCTACAAAAAGAAATTCCTCTTCTAGCAGCAATTCAAGAAACGCATTTTCGGAACTCTGATCACTACAATTATGATGTCCCTGGATACACATTGTATAGACATGACATAAATATGCCAAATCGACAGGGAGGGGTTGCACTATATGTAGCGAACTCTCTTCCTCAGCGTCAAACAATCTTGGCTTCCACACTTAATGTGGTAGCGGTAACAATTTCCTTGTTTAATCGAGAGGTTTTGGTCGCATCGGTGTACTTGCCACCCAACTCAAACATTGTTAACCGTGATACCATAAATGCTCTGTTTGGACAAATGCCTGAACACTGTTTGATGCTAGGCGATTTCAACGGCCACAGTCCATTATGGGGCAGCCAACAGCTAACTCCAAGAGGGCGGATCATAGAGACTGAACTCAACCGCCAATCTCTTATAACTATGAATGATGGAACTCCGACTTTCATCAGCCACAGCTATCATACAACATCCTCCATTGACCTATCAATCTCTTCCCCCAGAATAGCCCCGCTTTTTAAATGGAATGTTTCACCAGACCCCCTTTTCTCAGACCACTTTCCTAT